GATTAGTCTCACAGGGGTCAATACACCAGAACAAGCTTCCTGGTTTCACCTCCTTGCCTTCGCTCCATCCCTCTATATGTCTCCCCCTTTTTAATAGCATTTCTGAGCTTCTCCCAAATCCCATCATCCCATTTGTCCGGATCTTCTCCTGAACTTTCCCAGATCATGAGAAGAAGAAAAAGCACCGAGGGAGAAAAGAAGGTTGGACTTACAGAGCGTGAATCCAGGATTAGAGGAAAAAAAGCAAATACCTTGTTCCACACTGGGGTGGACGTCCAAGAGGGTTAAGACTCCAAACAATAGAAGTCAATTACAACCCTGGACCAGCGGTCTTTGATGGAGGAATGAAGGATTACTAGATAAGTACATGAAATACTTGAAAGTAGAATTCCTACTATATGTTATCCAAACTTTGTACTTTTAAGTAAATAAAGCCAAGTGTGTGTTTTTATAGAGTGGCGTTCACAGGCCTCTAAGATAGTCAAGAAGTTTATGTGTGTTTATGTGCTTTTAGTCAGAATGAGGAAACCAACATGGAGTTCACAAAAAGATGTGTTTTTTTACCCTAGAGTTTTTACTGCACCAGCTAACAAAGAACAGAAGCTCCATCTCTCTGACAATCTTCAAACTATTCTATCATTAAAAAAAGTAAAGAACATTCAGGACACACAACAAATATCTCTGTGCCTAAGGTCAAGCAGATGACCTTTAAACCTTCATTTAGTTTTGCATCAGTAACTACAATGATACAGTGATGGATGTAGACACACAGACTCAGTACCACTGCTGCTTAACCCTGTCCATTCAGGATGTTTAGATAAACATACAGTCAAACTGACGTAAGTAAGGTATTTGTGTACATATGTTTAGTTTAATGACTGAAGGAAAAGGGAGTTTTGGGGGCTTTAGTGCAGACACAACCGGTGTTCAAAGGCATCAGTCTCTGACTGGATGAAAGACCAAAAAGCTGGAGAGTCGCCTGAGGGTCAAAAGATCAGAGAGGGAGAAAAAAAAAACTGCAGAGGGCCATGAATCGGAAAGAGGCTGAGACTCAAGGCCAAGGTCTCACACACGCACGCACACACACACACACACACACACACAGGTGTTGTTAAATCTTTGTTCTTTCTCCCTCTGGGCAGACAGACGAGTTGATGACAGGGTGCATTAGAATTTAAGAGCCACGGTCAAGAAAATCTTTGTAAAAATATGTGGTGTCCGTCACAAAACTTGGAGGACGATGAAATTAATCAACTGAATTAAACTGAATCAATGATAGATTTATAACCTGAACGGTGACTGTAGGTAATGTGATATTGAATCAGAAGCCAGTGGAGCTGCTGCAGGACAGGTGTGACGGGGTCGGTGGGGGGAATTTAGACTTTGAAGTTTGGATTTAATGGTCTGGTTTGCAAATGACCTTAACCTTAAAAAGACCGTGATAAAGATTTTTATTACTTGAAGGGTTCGTTTTCTAATCAGACACTGCGGATCTGATCATTTTAATTTTAACTTAATTGAATTAAAATGGTATAAAATTCAAATTTAACTTAAGGAGAACTCACTGTCTAAAGCGAGGGGGGGAAACACACGTGGTGCAGCGCTGACTCAGCTTGGATTGGTTTAGAATAAAACCATGAAACGTTATTATGTTTCATGTCTCATACTCGACTCGAACACACACAGAGACACGCACACAGACACACACGCACCGCTCCACGCCCACAGGGTGTATAGAGAGGCGGGTGTGAGGCGAGTCCTCTCTCTGAAGTCAACACACTCCCAAACGGCACTAACATTCCAGGACGCACGGGGATCGCGCGTAAAAGCGAAAACTCCGTGAAATTCACGAACAGAATGATTTCGCTTTTATGATGTTTCATCTCTAATCTCTCTGCAGTCTCAGACTGTTTTTCCTTCTTCGCTCTGTTGTTTTGGACCTGTTGCAGCGCAGCGGAATAGTTTCCTCCGGAGCCAACGATGTCGCTCGGGCATCTTTGGATAACAGCGCGCCACGCTTTGGATCCATAATGTAAAGAATCTCGAGGAAAGAACGGAATAAAGGAAGACGCTGCATAAAGACCGGACTGAGCTGTGAGCCGTCAAGTTTGTTCTCGTCTCCAAGGATGTGGTGCAGGATGGTTCTGTCATCTGCACTGCTGCTGCTGGCTGTTTTGGGTACGATGCCAATGTCTTCTTCTTTCGTCAATCATTTATCATGATTTTTTTTCTTATCTTTCCTATTCATCTTCATCTTTTTCATCTACTTCTTCCTTCTATTTCTTATCTTATTCCCTTCTTATTTTGGAACATCTTCTTCCTCTTCATCCTCATCATCATTAATGCCACCTTGTTATTTACACTTTTTTTTCTTCCTCCCATCTTTGCTCATATTCTTCTTCCTCTGTGTGGTTTTCTTCATCATCACCATCTGCTTCCTCTTCATCTTTATAACGTTGTTCTTTTGCCCTTGATTTTCTTACATTAATTTGTATTTCTTTGTCTTCTTGTTGCTCGTTTTTCTTTGTTCTTCTAATTATGATTATTGTTCAAAGTAGAAATAATATTACTAGTATTTATGTTATTCTTCATCCTATTTATCATCGTTCTCTTCATCTTTCTATTGTTTTCTTCTAATTCTTCCTCTTCCATTTCTGCTTTTCTTTATCATCTTTATCTCTATCATCTAATGATTAGTAATATTAGTAGCAATAGTTAGTAGTGACAAGTTGTTCAAAATAAACAGTACTCAAAGTCAAAGGAGTTTTTACAGTATCAGTCTCCAAACAGTCAACAGGTTTCATACTTAAGGCTCTGGTTTGCCCACGTGTTCACCCTCATGTCCCAGACAACATTCATCTGTAACTTCAAGTGACCGGCTTAAGATAAAAGACACGGTATTTCAGAGTCCACTTACCCTTAAGTGTGCGTAAGTGATTTTAACAGTCACTGGAGTGGCGTGTTATTGTAGGCTGTCACCGTGGCGATGAGAATGTACAGACAAGCCAGATATGTGAGAGCTGTAAATTTCACTGAGGGAGAAAACCTCATTTTGTCTTTCAAGGCAACAGTAAAGACAGTGGAGTTTGTAAAATAAGAACTGCCAGGACTGCAGCAGTGACCTCACACTGACTGTCATTTACTAAAGGATAAGATTTCGACAGGACTGGACCATGTTTTGAACCGGTGTTTCTTAGAAGGTCATGTCCTAAGATTCAAATTTTACCTCAGTTTTTTCTTAAAAATAGTATAAATTATAACTAAATGTCTTTTGTTCCAGTAGATCAGCATGGCTCTTTGATTTGTCCTCTGCATTTAACACATCCATCTCCACACTGCAGCCTGCCACGGACTCAAACCGGCAAACCTCTGTATAAAAGCCCAATCCTTTCACCATAACTGCTAGACAACGCGATGTGACCCAAAATCTGCAGTATCATCAGAGTATTTTCAAAATATTCAAGACAAAATATTCACACATTTATGTTAGTTACAGATGAAAAAAAAGTAAAAACTCCTAGACACCCAGTAGATACGACTTTGAATTTAAGAATTCATTGTCATACTTCAAAATAAAAGATTGCACTTTTATTTTGCACATCTGGTTTTAAATTACCATAAAGTGTCATGTTTTTCTTTCCTTTCATGTCCTTCATGGTCATTGTCAATTTCTGCGAAAACACAAAGAACAGTCCTCTGTCTGGTCTGCGTTTTGGTACTCTTTTTTTTCCCATAAACGTTGTGGAGTCTCTCTGCTTGTCAGGGGTCCCAGTTCTGTTACCTCACCAGTGGAATTAGGCCATCTGGAAATGTTCTCTGTGGTTTCAGACTCTGGGAGTTTGACTCTTTGATTTAGATAAAGAGCAGCAGTTTGTGAGAGAAGCAGCAGCAGATCGCGAGTATTCTAGATTCTGGCCTTAATGAGGGAATATTTTTGTTTTTATTAGTTTGTGTAAAGATATAAAAGTGCAGCCACAACTGTATCATATAAATAAATCATTAAATGTTTGGAAGTAGAAAAAGAAGGCTTTTTTTTTTCAAAGAGCAGTTTTAAAATAAGGCTACACTTTGACCCCTTTTTTAATCCTTTCCTCATTTGTGTCCCTGTCAGTCTGTTTTCCTTCAGCTGCCCAGTGTCTGGTTTTGATCGCATAAAAAAGATTTGTTGCTAAATTTATAATAGCTTTAAAAGGAAATAAGAAAAGTATGTTTTATGAGCGCTTTAATATTTTTACCAAACCACAGTTCTTGGCGTTCTTTCATTTATTTAAATGTATTTACAGATTAGAGAGTAATTTGCTGGTATAAAAACAGGGGGGAACAAAAACCTGAAAAAATACAAATAGGATTTATTGCTATAGAAAAATGACATCAGCAGCAGCAACAGCTGCTTCTGTTGAGAACGTCTTTTATTTGCAATTAAAATGTATTTTTTGGGGGAAATTATGCAGCCCTTCCTTCTGCCCTGAAGGTGGTGCTGTTGTGAAAAGAATCTTTTGTTTGCATTTTTGCAAAAATAATCTGTATGAATAACTTACTGATACTGTAAAATATCAATGATAGTATATATATTATTTTAAAATATTTTATGGGAGACTAATATCCATTTTTACACAAATTTGTAATTTGTGTTTCCTGTTAGCAGGAATCACACACACACATAATACTGTCCGGAAAACTGCACGTTAAGACAGCAGTAAACTTGTAAAGTTTTTACTCAGTAATAGAAAAAAAAAATCTGCGTTTCAAGTCCAGAATTGTTGTGAAGCTTTCAGCTTCTTCTCGTCTTCAGAAGCAGGGTCAAATATGTCCACCCCTGACATTTGTGTACAGTATGAGCACCACATTTAGATCATGTGATGATATGCCCATCTGCTGAAGAAGAGTTGTGGGGTATTCTAGACTGACAGCTGCTGGTACAGCCAAAGGTTAGTTGTTATTGGCAGTGGTGGCTATTGTCAGCCAATCAAAGGCTTCTAAAAATAAATCACTTTTCCTTTTGTCACACTTATTTTTAACTTAGTTAAGTGCATTTGGGTGTAAGAATCTTATGGTAACTCAGGATTTGATCACAATTGTAAGGGCAAAAGTTTCTCATTATTAAATGCTTTTTTTTAACATTAACAGGAATTCACCGCAGTGCAAGTTATCTCTTCTCACTCGCCCAATTTTTTTTAATCTATTTTTTTTTCTGTTTCACATAATTTATTTATTCCTGCAGATGAAAACACCACCATACACCTCTAGTGGTTGAGGGATTTCTTTGTACGAGAATAAATCCAGACATTAGACCTAAACGTGTTTATGTGAAAGTCGGGGTCAGTTTCTACAAAGTTGTCCTGTCATAAGATGCGTACTACATTCACACACCTTTTCACCTCAGCAAAGTCCTTACTGCTTTAAATACCATACCAGTTTTAATGGCAGGACACACACACACACACACACACACACAGGTAGGTGCTGCGCTCTCTCGTAAAAACAGGTTGTTGGCAGCCACTCAGGGTCTTTCCTCACTGGAAAACAAGTAAAGACCCAGAGTGGCCGAAGGTGCAATAAAGAAAATTAAAGACATAAACACACAGTTAACATGCAGCAAAATACTGCACAACTGTTGACACCTGAACATCAGCTTGAGGAAACATTAACATTACAGTGTTCTGCTAACTCTCTGTATAAAATAACAGCCTCGTTCATCTCCATTTCCCTATCTACTCATAATATATGACATCAAACTGCTCTAATGTGTCAGTCATTATTGTCTAAAGCACAGTCCGGCTAGAGTTTGTCCATTGTACGCAGTCCTTGCTAAAAGGCTAAGGAGTCACATGTGGTTCAGGAGCCACAGGTTACATAGTCCTGGTTCCGTTAGTGATGCAAAGTTCAAGAACTATTCTCCTTTACAAACCTTTGGCTCCTTGAGACCACAACACTATCAACTATCCCAAAAAAATGTGTCTCCATTATGTAAATCCTCATGTGGTATGTACAGAAAATATGTCACGTTGGCCGACAAACCTGCAGCAGTTTTATCATGTCAAGAAAGACAAAAAAATCTCTGAGCGATTCTTTAGGCATGATGTCAGGTCTACGCCTTTATGGTTACAGGCAGTTTTGAAGGAGAATTCTGGAACAATGTACTGGCAGGATATACCTAATGAAGTGGCCCACAGGGTAACCCACAATGTTTCTTTGGACGCTTCACACTAGCACACTAGGTCATGTGACATTACAAACGCAACCTCTCCCTCTTAGCTCACACACACGCACACCATCTGAGTGGATGAATCTTCAGAGATTTTAGAATCTTTTAATCAGACGTCTTTGTCCCTGTGGTGGTGCTTTAGTTTCTAATGAAAACCAAAGCAGCGACCACAGCTGCATTCCTTGGCATTAAATGATAGCATCAGGCATGTTGGGTCTGATAGAAAGAGTTGAATGCACGGTCTTCGTGTTTCAAAATTTGGATGAAATCAGAGAATCATCCTGAAATCCTGGTCTGGTCTCTGAGTTTTTTAGGCAGCAAATTTTGAAAGTGTTGTATTTTTTGCCATTTTATCCATGTAAGCTCAGCCCACTGTTGAAATTATTGTTATTTCATGTGGTACACCAGGAATCAAGGCGTCAACTGTTAGGTCTTCAAATGTATGACTTATATATATATATATATATATATATATATATATATATATGCCAAATTGGAACTTTTTCTTCTGTTTATTGTTTGGATTTTCTTTTAAGATCCAAATTAAACTCTGCTGAAAGACACTGATGACACTGTGGTTTGCCTGTGTACTTCCTGTAAACATTGTAAACAAATCCTTCACAAGCCTTAATCCTTTCAGCACAAAGATGTTCTAGTATTATTACCAATACAAACTTTAAAGAATATATAGGAACTAAATGAGACAGTGTCATAATTAGATTGTTTTCTGTCATAACATCGTTAATATCAGGCTGTGAGTTAACTGTTCTATATTTTCTGTGCTGCATTTAAAGCACTGAATACCAAAGTGAATTTTTAAAAAATAGTTGAGTTTTAAAGTAGTACAAAGGGGTTTCTACAAAAGGGGGGGCACAAGTATTATTCCCATATTTCACGTAAACAAAGCCGCAGCTTCTACTTCAAAACACTGTTTCTGCAAAAATACCCAAATACAGCTATATTTCTGTGCAACCTATTCTCTGCCACTGTTCACTCAAAGGATGTCGTCTTTTTGTAGCCCCAGGTTGGGCAGTGGGGTCCCCTCATCACTCATCAGACGGCCACACCAGTCATCTCACTCTAGAGAAAAGCCTTGGTCGTTCAGTCAAAGACTTTCGGTGCCAACACATGTTGAAGCATCTTCACAATGGAGCGAGAATCACTGTGCAGATGCCCCCCAACGTGGAGGGTCACTGGGTGTCAACCAGGTAAATAAATGTTCACTTTTGGTACAAAAAAATATAAAAACAGACATAGGCTATAATAATAACAATCGAAGTAATCGAAATAATCAAAAAAACAAATAATCAAAAAGAAAATTACGTCAGAATATATATCAGATATAATATAATACCATATATAATATAATATAATGTCTTTTTTTCCTGTTTCAGCTGTGAGGTGAGACCAGGGCCAGAGTTCTTGACTCGCTCCTACATTTTCTACCCTAACAACACCTTCCAGGCTCATCAGTTCTACTACGAGGACAACCACTGCACCCGACCCACGTACACCCTGGTCATCAGAGGGCGTCTGCGCCTGCGTCAAGTCTCCTGGATCATCCGCGGAGGCACCGAGGCAGAGTACAACCTCCATCACGTACAGATGGTGTGTCACACGGCCACCGTGGCCAAAGACCTGAGCCAGAGGCTTCTCCCCAGCTGCCCAGGGGCAGTAAAGGGCCCCTGGGAGCCCAATGTCAACTACGAGCTGTGGAGCGAGGAGGGCTGCTACAACTGCTCCAAGGAGCTCAACTTTGCCATGCACGAGCTGCAGCTGCTGAGGGTGGAGAAACAGTACCGGCATCACAACCTGGACCACATGGTGGAGGAGCTGTTTCTAGGAGACATCCACACTGAGCCCTCACAGCGCCTGTACTACAAACCAACCAGCTATCAGACGGCTCTGCAGAACACCAAGGTCAGTTTCTCGTGTTACCTCTGGAGGTGTGACTTACAGCTGCTTAAAATCTGTTGCTTTTCTGAGTTGAATGACTCTGATAGAAACAAAGAATACAGTTTGGGAACCACTGGCTAGGACCACCTGGACTGGAGGTGTTTTAACAAGGATCTTCTCACAGTTAGCTGTGTTCAAGTGACGGCTGCAAACATGCAGAAAAGTCTTGACTTTTCTATAGAAAAAAAACCACTCAGCTGCGCGACAGGAAACCTTCCCACTCGCCCAGATTCTTTTGTGTTTGTTGGAACACACCAGTTTTGTTTTCTGCCCCAGTGAATAACCTCCGCTGAACTCCACTCCCGCTGTGCCAAGCATCCACACCACACAGACCACACACAATAAAGAAAGTCTGGACTGACCTTAAAGGGCTAGTGCAGGTTATGGGAAGTGATGTTAGAGGTGCTGACGTGAGAATAACGTTTGTGTGTCTTTCTGAGCTGCTAACTCTTCAACAACATTGTCCATTGAGAAAAAAAAAGATTTATACCAGAGGTTCCCAACCACTGGGCCCCATTCTGGTATTGGGCCAAAGGTCATTTGACCTGCTACACTGTGTAACAGTACATAGAACTGTTATCCAAATACCTCAAATCAAATCTATGCCTGTCTTTCTTAACACCTCAACATTTGCACCTGTAATACATTATCTTTTACATCTCTCTGCCCTGGTTTTTCACTGTCATCCTCCTCCATAGAGATCACTGCTCTGTGACTAAACACAGGCTGGGGAGCTGCTGATCACAATGTAAACAGTGTGGATTGAGTGACTGTGATGGGAGCAGCTCCCCTGTGGTGCTGTAATCACCGGAACTGCCTGCTGCAGCTTCGACTGCCAACGCAGGCAAGCTGTCCAACCAGAGAGATCAACATGTGCTGTTCCCAGAAATTGGAATAATGTGGTCGTATTGTGGAGTTATTCCAGACAGTGTGCAGTGGCTCTGGTTACATGCATGCTCTGGGCTCAAAACTTAATTTTGCACAGGGATTTTTTTATTATTATTTTAACACTCAGCCAAAACTTTGCCATGGTGACGTACGTGGAACTGTGACTGATTTAAAGGTAGATTTTTGCCCAATAAATAAAAAATGCCTTTTTAAAAAGTACTTTACAATTACTTTTCACTCAATTTCACATGGAATTAATTTTAAATGAGTGCTGTGGCTGCAGAAACAACATTAGCTCATATAACGTCCAATCTTTGAAACAGAAATTTAAGTCATTCAAGTAAATAAAAAAATAGCACATGACACTTTTGTGTTATTTAATAATAATAATAACACCAAGAAAAATATGAATTATATTCATTATTATACTATTATAATTGTTGATATAGTTGTTATTTATGATACAATGTATATATGTTTATCTATATAAATAATTAGTATAATTAGTAACCAGTATTAGTAGCAATAGTGTTAATACTAGTAGTAAGTGAAACCCAGCCAGTATTAGTAGTATTAGTAGCAATACTGTTAATACTAGTAGTAAGTGAAACCCATTATCTTATAATGATTTATAATTTAAAAAACAACCTTAAGTGAAAAAGAAATATTCAGCTTCTGACCTAATTTGGATAAAAAGCAAAAATGAACAGAACTCCAGTGATTCCACGTATTGACCCCAGTACATGTACATGTAAACAGAGCCTTACTGCAGTGTTCTGTGATGTAGTATAACTGCACCTTTAAAGTTTAAATATGTTTTTGTGAAGCTTTAACCTCTCACTGGAACACATACACAGTCAAGTATCTCGTCAGATCTATATGTTCCTGCTGCTCCTGACTAGAGAACACCTCACTCCTTCCTTCACTTCTCAGTGTAACCAGTTTTTCTAGGTTTTTTTATGGCTGTAGTGAGTATCCAATCCCCTAATCTGAAGCCGGTGCCAGTAATTTGTGGTCATGGGGTGGATCTCAGCAGTGATGGAGGCGGAGCGGCACATTTTGTTTTTAAGCTCATTGCTGTGTTTTCTGTCGCCTGGTTGCAGAAATGACCGTCCAATAATAACACGTATTAAGGAATGAACCGCGTTTTTAGGTTTGGGTGACGTTGTTCACGTCCCTCGTACAGTGACTCAACTCTGGTGCAGCTTTAATGCTTCTCTGAGGACTCGTGATAAGAATCCCCGGAGAGTCATTCTGCAGATAAGCTGCTGCCGTAGTGTCCATATTACATACACAAACACACACATGCACACAAAATCAGCCACTCTTAGGTTTTCTAAGAAGTTCTTTGAAAGCCTGATGTGTTTTCTGTTCCTCATAAAGTGTTGGCTTCTAGACCGTGTCCTCTTCTGAACTGTGGTGGTAATCCCCAAAATGCCCAGATAACAGATGGACGGCTGCCAAAGTTAAATTCACTTAGAAAAATCTTCCTCGTCTACCGTGACTCCGATTGGTCGTTTGTTTGTGTGTGGCTGCAGCTCAGTGTTTAGTGTTTAGAAAAGGCTGGTAAATTAATTTACTCCTCATGTCTTCATTTCCAGTAAAGGGATAATATCACTGCTGAGAGGATAAACTACTGGATAATCTCATTTAAAAATTTTAAGGGTTTTGTTGATTATAATTAAATATAAAAACAAACTATTAGACAATGGGAGATATTGAGGAAAAAACTCAGCAACATATTTATTCAACTGCGTTGGGACTGATTTATGATGATTATGATTATTATTATTATTTTAAAGCTGCTGGTGTCCAAACATCTACACCATACCAGATGTTCTAATGGGACAGAAATTCAGTTTGCAAACACACTCAACCTAATAAATCAAACCTTTTTTAAATTTATAAATAACTAATAAATAACTGATCACTAAATAACTATCACTTTTCCTAAAATGATTTAAACCCCTTTTTTAATATAAAATGTACACATATGAATTTATATATATATATATATACACACAAAGAAAAATACATAACAGGAAGGCCATTATTATTTTAACCAGAAAATTAATTTAAGACTTACCTGAACTGAACTTTTTCTTTTAAGAAGAGGTGAAGTCAAGTGACACATCCTGAAAAGAACAACAATCACTTAATAATAACAAACAGCATGAAAACATTGATAAAAACTCATTTCAATAGAAAAATAAAACATTTATAAAACAAAATCCTACTTGCTAAGAGCACCTACAGTGTTGCGTGTATATACAGTATATGTACTACAGTAGAACACAATCATGGAACTGTAAGGTAGAATATCTTGGTCTCAAAGGGTTGAGAAAGTCTACATTAGCATACTGCTAAACCTGGCAGGCCATATCTGGGCTGCCAGCCTTTGTTTGACAACTTCTCATCCACAGTCACACTTAGCCACATAGAGTACTTACGTTAATGAGGCTTTTGGGGAAAAGATTAAAGGTTCCCTGCTGAGATTCATATTCAAAGATGATGACATTATTTTATGTCTACTGCATATGATGTTAAATTTAAAGTGGGGAAAAATCCATTTCCTTTCCTGCTTTGCTGCTCTGTGGTAGATGTTTTTTTTTTTAGCTGGCAACCTCACTGTATCTGGCCAGGAATATCTGACCCTTGACCTCTTCAAAACTACACACTGTTATTATTTTTAATACAGTTTGGTGCTAGACCCTCAAGTTTTCCACTTTTTCCATTTATTTATGCAAAGTTAAGCTGTAGTTTGTCGCCATGGGATCCATGGTCTCATGTAAGAAATGGGAAAAAACTTTGAAGGAGCTGAGGCTTTAACTCATGACCACCACTGAATAACAACGACCTTTGTGCTGATTTTTGGGACAAAATATTGTTATTCAACACAGTATTAAGACTTCCTGGTCTAAATCCAACTGGACCTCTGGTTGGTCTGCAGCCAGAGGCCAACAGATCTGTGGACGCATGGTCACATGATGCTGCTTTAACGTGCACTCAAGAGAGGAAACACCTTTGATCAGTAACCCAGTGACTGCAGGTCATTTTCATGTTGTTTGGAACTGTTCTGTGCATAATGGTTATTGTTTGACCAGACCTCTACCTTTTACTGTTAAAACTGTGTGTGATCACACTGGGAAACTGCTGGAACCTCCACTGGTTTCCACAACCTCCCTGAGGTTTTAGGCTGAAGGAAATAGTTTATCCTCCTTCACCTCTGAACAGGCGCCAGACAGCCTTCATGTGGATTTCATGACACAATTTAGTCATGCTGGACTAAAAAGGCAGCCACCACATGCACACAGATATTTCATCAAACACCATAGAGGAGGTCCTTCTTTACTTACTTTCTTAACATACCCACAAAGACCTTGACATTTCCGAGCTTTTCATATAAGATTTTACTCTTTATTATTTGCATGGGTAAGTAAAAAACTCTTGGAGAAATATAATTATTTTTATTTAAAATTCATCCTGTCTTAAGATATTTTGGTTGGTAAAATCAAACGCCGTTGCAAATAATATATTAATCATTTGAATAATCCCCCCTCATCCCTCTTTGTCTGCAGAACCATGACAACAGCTGCATCGTCTGTCGTATCATCTACCGCTCCGATGAGTTCCACCCGCCCATCCTGCCCCCACGTGCCGACATCACTGTGGGTTTGTACGGTCAGTGGGTGAGCCAGCGGTGTGAGGTCCGCCCCGAGGTTCTCTTCCTCACCCGCCACTTCATCTTCCATGACAAAAACCACACATGGGAGGGCTACTACTACCACTACTCCGACCCCATTTGTAAACACCCCACCTTCACCATCTACGCCAGAGGGCGCTACAGCCGAGGACTCCACTCCACTCGGGTCATGGGTGGGACAGACTTTGTCTTCAAAGGTAGCAGCACAAATGAAATCAACACAGTCATTTATCAAGTGACATCACTGATGTTTAGATACTGCATAAGAAGTTTTGGTACTGATGAAATGTAGGGCAGAGTTTATTTATGGATAGAAATTTAATGCTTTAATTTTACAAAGAATATTACAAATTAAAAAATAATTTTATCACATTTCTGTAACTTCTGGCACTCTGTAATCCTGAAGTACACACTTAAGCCCAGTAGGTGGCAGTAATGCACCTAAGGTTTGTAACTTATCAAAAGTAATTTTGCAACAACAATGGAGGAATATGGGCACAGCCTTTAGACTCAGTCTTTTTATCATTGTCATTTAAGGGTCACTTTACATCTCATCAGTTTTGGTCCGCTTCAAACAAACCAGAGTTGGTTCCTATAGGATAAGTAGTTTTGTTTGAATAGCTAGAAAACCTCACCTGAACTCTAGTGCAGCAGAAACTGCTGATCTCAGATCTGCCTCAAAACATGGGTCTTAGTTTGCCTCAGTTTCAGTAGGAAAATGTCAGTCCAGTGAACTAAAGAGAGAAATTGACAAAGAAACAAATTACTTTCACAGAAGTAAACAAAGTCAACAGTGTAAAACAAATGAAATAGCGGCAAAAAGTTGGAAAATGTTTTCTTGACCAGATGTGGAGTAGTGAGGAGATACAGATATTTATTAATATATTATTGGAGGACTATTGGGTAGAGGAGGGTTTCTTACTGTTAACACCGCTAACTCCTGATGTGTTTTTTCTTTAGTGAATCACATGAGAGTGACGCCCATGGACTTGGCCACCACCTCCCTCCTTAACGTCTTCAGCGGTGACGAGTGTGGAGAACAGGGGTCATGGCAGGTGGGTGTGGAGCAGGACGTCACCAAAACTAACGGATGCGTGGCACTGGGGATACAGCTCCCACACACCGAGTACGAACTCTTTCGCATGGAGCAGGACGCCCAGGGCAGCTACCTGCTGTACAACGGTCAGCGCCCCAGTGACGGCTCCAGCCCGGACCAGCCAGAGAAGCGGGCCACATCCTACCAGATGCCCCTGGTGCAGTGTTCGGCCAGCAGCCATCATTTTGACTACAGCCCTGGAGGTGATGTTGACGGACCTCTGCAGCACCGTAACGGCTGCAGTGGGTGGAGCGCAGACAGCCAGGAAGTGGTCACGCTGACTTTGATTGTCTCTCTCACATCTTTACTCTTTTCCTGTCAGAGCTAGAGAGCAGCTGGACAACAACAGGTCAGAAAGGAGGAAATAATAAAAAAACTATGAACAAATATTAACTTCTGAGGAGGATGACGAATGGTGCACTGATCCTCTGAACTCCTTGCCAGTTACCAGAGACTCTGAAACTGCTGCACCACAGACACTGCACTTTACAGGGAAACCAAAGACTGACTTCTGTCTGCGTTTGGAAAAACACACAAAAATGTCTGTATATCCACACAGACTTGAAAGTATTTCATACAGTGTATTTACTGACAACTAGTGAGTCATACCAAATAAAACAATATCTGGTGTATAACAATGTTTTTCCAACACACTGACAGTAAAGATACAGTTTATACTCTACTCGTGAATCATTGTCTACAGTAAATTGAACTTCTGTTTGTATTAAAGCAATTCTTTATTATTATACAAATGGTTTGTTTCTTAATGTTATTTATCACATATGTATTGAATAGGATGGACTGAAGAGAAGTAGCTTATTCAAATTGGATGTCTAATTAGATTAATTAAAACAGGTGTAAACACACTGTTTACACCTGACCGTTTCTTATTTTTGTCACCTGTTGAGCTGTGTTACGTTTTATCTGATTAGGTCTTTCAACTTCAAACTGAACCATTCTGAACTCAGAGCAAACATCACATTTTTAAACAAATTTGAAAGAAACCCCATAAAATTATTCGAGCGCCATCTTTCTTTTTCCCCATACCGTGAATCACTAGTTTATCGTTTTCTTCCTCCTCACTGGGGCGCACACTTATTTAGTTTACAGAGTTTGGTACTGTAGTAAAACACCGCAAGACAGAGCAAACACTACTAGCTATAATAATATGTTTACTACCTCTTCAATATGACGGGGGGGCGTTGGTTAGCACGTGTAATGTGCGGTGACATCCGGGGAGTTGTATTTACTTCTTAGCTACGTTTGTCCTTCATTTCCGGTCCGACGTCAGTTTTCTCTCTTTTAATGGACACACGAGTTATATCGCGCAACATCGCCCCCTCTGTTTTCAGTGGTACTGCCGCGTTTCACGCGTTGTGGTCCGGATCCGCAACGCACAGATTGCAGCTTAACTGGCGAAATCCTGAACAGATTTTTTAAAAAAGAAGGACAAGTACGAATAGTTGCATCAGGTTATTGAAAAAGGACGTGCCCACAATATTCTAGAAATTATTCTGTGATGGAAACAACAGTTCGGGCCATGTTGTTTACTTTTAAGATTTACTATTAGAAGATAATGCATTTTAAAACAGTGGCTACTGATTTTTTTCTGTGATATTCACTGAAAAAAAACAGACAAATTAAACAGACAAATTAGTAAGTAAATCACATATAGCTTCTAATACTTCTGCGACGTTACCATTTTCATCCTATGAGGTCTGATATTACAAACCTTAAGACAATGAAGTCAAGTTACATGCAAGTGAGACGTGAATAGCTTGGTACAATGACTGAACTATCCACCAGAGGGTAGTGTTATCTTTAAATATTAATCGGTCGCTTGGAATTTTTTAACTATTCCACCTTTTATGGAAAGATATGGTATGTACAATATTTTAGACCTGAAGAAAAAAAAACGTCTTAAAAGCCAAGGTGCAGTTGGGACATTTTACAAAGGCCAACCATGATCGGACGATACTGTCAATATTTAATGAACATTGAAGATTTATTTAGCAAGAAATTGCAAGTGTTTTTACAGCACCTTAAACAGTCAACTTCCATGCACTGAAGATTCAAGTTTCTCTGTTTTGTAGGACAGTCTGAGGACGCACTGGAGCTTGTTTGGTGTCAACCGAGCAAAAAAAAAAAAAAAAAAAAGAAAAGTGGTAATAAATAATTGTAATAACTTTTACAGTTTTGATGAAAAAAAAAACAGAGGGACCTCTTGTTTTCTATAACAATGTGTACAAAAGTTACAAGTTGAAAAGCTGTAGCATATGAGACATGATATATCATAAATTTAACTTGTGAAATCAAGACTGGTAGTGTAGCACCCCCATGAGGCCTATGAGTTGTAATTACAGCTAAGGACATTTGTGACATGGCTGAACCTATGTGCAAATGTAGTAATAATAATAATAATAATAATAATAATAATATCTGCAAAAAATCTAGATGCCGTCCACACAAGTTGGTGCAAATATGAACAAATTTACTTTGGGACAATCCAGAGAAAATACAGGTAGCACAGTCATTGTGATGGAAGTTCTTTCCTTTTTTATTTAAAAGGATTTAAAAACAACGCTAACAAGAAACCTATTTGAGTTATACTTAAAACAGAATTAGAGAAATGCAAAAGGATGATATTTTGCTGGACTGCTTGCTCTTCACTCGGTGAACCTTGTTGAATTACAGTATACTTTATTTACTCTCCCATCACATGAACCTGTTTTAATTCCAGCCACAAAGAAAACAAAACAAAATGAAGCAATCGTTGTTGTTTTTTTTTTGTCACTTTTCTTATGTGCTAACTGTGTGAAATTGTAAAAATGTGTTGCCTTCAAATGATGCTGTACAGATGTGTTCACTGTAGGCCACACTACCAATGATATGGCAAAGTCAACAGAAAGACTTGGAGGTTTTTCCAGGCCTTGTTGAATTTGGAGCCGGGGGAGAGGGGTTTGTGAAACCAAGGCATGCATCTCCCAGTCTACAAGATGAACTTCCCTAAGAAGAATCCAATGAAGATGGCTGCTATGACAACGAGGAGGGAGGGCAGGGAGGCGGTGGGGGCTTCTCGGCCGAGGAGGCTGGTCGAGTTTGTCGTCATGTGGTCTGAGCGCGGCGCCTTTCTCATCCTAACACCATCGTCCTGCAGGACAAAAGACAAATTAAGGAAAAAAATTAATTCCCAGGAAACGAGTTAAAACATTCAATAAGGCAGAGAAATGTAATGTTTATGACAGGACGAGTTCAAACAGTCCGGGTCCAGAGTGAGGACACTTTCATATGTAGTCGTCCTCCAAAAGGGGGCGAGAGCCAATCCCAGTTGTCACCAGGTCCATCACAGGGCCATATGGAGACAAACAGTCGTTCACACTCACATTCACACCTGTGGCCAAACTGGAGTGAACAACCAATCTAAACATCTCTCCATCTGGCGACATGATTAGGTAAGAGTTTGAACTTGTGGTTCAAATTGTCCTGCTGTGAATGACTTACTTATTTTTTAAATTAAATGATATTCATAATGTTTTAGTTGAAGACAGAGAAACCAGGAGATGTCTTTTTCCAACATGTCTGACCTTTAGTTGTCGGTTCTCATCAACCAGCTTGTTGATCTCACTCTGCAGCCTCTTGCACTTCTCCATCATCTTCTTCATCTCTGTGTCATCCAGCTGTGCGGTGGCTGCAGGCACAGTGGTCGCTGATGGATCACCCTTTGCAGAGTTCATCACCGGCGCTGCTTTGGTCGCCTCCACGTCATTCTGTCAGAGGGAGGGATAGAAGAAAACCACTGAAATGAAACGCAGCTCCGAGTTAAGTTGCCTGGTCAAACTCTAGACCAGGGACCCTGCTGCCACCGTGATACAACCTCCCACCCCCAGTTTTCAATGAACAACTAAATTATTTTAATAATCAAAAATATAGTTTAAAATAAAGTTATAAATACAATTTAATCCCGGGCCAGGTATGGGGGGTTTTGAGTGCAAGATGTTGTTCCTGGGCAGAGAGTTTGAGAACCCTCTAGACTGAAGCCTGGACCAGAAGAATAGCTACCTTGTCCTGAGGCCCAGAAGCTCACAGCGTCAGATTAAAGAGAGCAGCAAGCACATGCTGCCCTGAAGAAGCCATCTTGGATGTGGGGTTTTTTGTAGGTCAGACAAAATGAGGTCATGGGGAAATGAGGGACTGTATAAAATACAACCAGTGTTGTGTACATGGTGACAGTCGGCACAAAGATGGAGTACATCATTTGCTCTTGTGACAAATTCCAAGGCAATATTAATAAGTTGACAAAATATTACAATGTAACTTAAAAAGTAATGCAAAATGTCTTAGCAACTCAATGCCAGCATTAGGTCACTAAACCCCAAAGTTTTTTTACACAACATGGTGGGGCTTATTCTGCATCTACAAAAAGCATGCATTGTTGTGGTATCGACAATATTCACCAGTGTGATCTGACCTTGTATTTATAAAAATATCTTTTTTAACTTTCACAGTTATTCTATGAAAGCATTTTAAAATAATGTTACCATTTTGTCATTTTCACAAGGCAGCTCGAAGACACATCTCAGCTTGGAATCCATGAGATCATCAGGTTTAGCATCTTTCCACTGTTGAGAAGTAAATCATATATTTGAGACATATATTAGATTATGACATATATATTATCAGTCATGTTGTCAAAGTGATGGAAAAACAGCAGTAAATTAATTTATTAGTTGTAAAACTCGTTTCTCCATTTCATTCAAAACTGCATGTTTAAACGACTGTGCATCTGCTGCCCTCTGGTGGATGATTTGAAAATACCAGGTATAATAATAAAAACAATTTCATATTCATTTACTGCACACCTCAGTTTTTACCTTCAGCCTTAACTTGGTTTAACAAAGGTTCTTAAATCAAACACACAGAGGTTTTCATAACAAATGTTGAGGTAAGGACTTAAAAAAAAAACACCCTTACCAAGGCATCCATGTCAGAAACATTTGGTGGAGCAAAAATCGTCTGCACCATGAATTTGTGTTTACTTTTTTCGTTGGGGTCATAGTCGAAGGGCTGCAGCATAACTGAAAAACCAAGACATGGCAAAGGAAATGTTAATACAATATAACACAGGTATTATTTCTGATCTACTTGCAGTCAGAGATGTTTTAGAATTATAATTGGGTATATTAATAACTTTAATATTAAATTATAAAGATTTTAACTTCTGTACACAAACAAATTACAAGAAAAAAACAAATGTAACTGTACCTAAATCACTGATAAAATAATGCTGCATCAAAAGCAGATTTTAATTTCACTACTAGAGATTAGGTTTAATGATAATAGAAATCAAATCAAAACAGTTTAATTTCCATTTTATTTTTCAGTTTACAGGATTATTTTCAACTCCAAATGCCCAAATATCTGGATGTGAACATCACTTACTGTGACAAATTACAAATAAACCCTTTAATTAGGCTCTACTTAAATTCAATAAAATAAAAACTGATTAGACCATTTACTAGAATTTGTGGTAATAATCGCTGAAACCTTGACCTTCATTCTAAGACAACTCCACTCAGGTCTTGTATAATAAAGGGTCAATCTCATTTTGCTTCTCATTCGTTATTTATTGAATAATTGAATTCTATCCGATGCACCAGGACAACATATTACATTATTTATTGGCATTGCAACAAAACAGTTTGTCTGACTGACCACAGGGGAATAAAAAGAATAAAAAACAACCCTGGAAACTGTGATGTTTGTTTTACAACTTCACTACCCTGTGATCAAACTCAGCCACTTAGAGATGTCTTCAGTTCTAGCAAACATGTGATGCAGATAATTTTATTTCACCCTGATCAAATTCCCATCTTAGGTAAACAATCAATTCTCCCACACACAACATTTCTCTAAAGTTCAAAATAAAAAAAATAAATAAAAAAAACACGTACCCGAGATGTTGACACTGGCTCCGGCCTCAATGACACCACTGTTTGGTCGCACACAGTATCTGCGCGGTGCTGTTGTCTTCACTTTAAAACACACTCTTCTGTCAGAGGGGTTCTTCAGTTTGAGGTTGGTCGTAACTACATCTGTAAAAGGACCTTCAGAAAGAGTAAAAATAAAAATAATGTAACAAGCATTATGATTACTTCTGGTTCCAGAAATAATTAAAACCCTTTACACAAATAAATTCAATTTTTAAATGATCCAATAGTTTGACTAAACATCTCAGGTTCATTAAAAAAACGACTGTCAGTTCCTACTCATGTCCAACAGTTTGATTTCATCTTGTGACAGAGCTGGCTTCATATTATGTCTTTACCAGGGTCAAGACCATGTAGCTTTGATGGCTCAAATCAGCAATATCTCAAACTGGATCAACGCAATTACCATGGAAAAACATGTCCCATGATGCATGGTTCTATCAGTGTGGGTGCCATGATAAGGTCTACATTTACAAACAATGTTTTGCCAACTGTCTATGGAGTTAAATCTTGTGCCATGCAATTCCTACAATAAAATTAGGGATTTATAAAACTTGTCTCCAACCAGACTCGTCTTTTAGATAATGCTGCCACAATGCCTGTGGTCAAATTCAATAATTTGCCACCTTCGCCCAGCAACAGCACCAAGGTCCACAAAGGCTACATTTAGCACAACATCAAAAATAACTTATGTCAAAGAAAACAAAATTTGAATTAAACAAGATTTTGCTTTAATTAGCAAAAGCAGTGTATGATGTGAAACAGAGCAATGCTGAAAAGGAGTCATTCTTCAACAACAGATGAGCTGCACATCATCAGATCCACTAACCCAGGACTAAACTAAGACTAAAACAGACAGCACAGTGAGGAGATGTGCACATCAACACACCCACACATGCTGCCTACATCAGTGCCTAACTCCATGATGCCACCTTTGCTCAAGCAGCGTTAGCACAATCTCTCTTATCTTGGTTCTTCTATGCCGAGTTAGGGTCCTCCAGGCCAGACCTGCTCTAAAAATACTCAGTCAAGTAAAAGAGGGCTGCCCCTGCAGCTTGCTGGAGGAATCCCAACAGGCATTCTAAAACAGACCAACTCTCAGATACACATAGACCAATTTAGCTCTGCTGCTGTGACAGGAGTGAAGCTACAGTTATCTTCTCATATTTCCACTGAAAGACCAAAGCACAACAATTTTCCATGACTATAATGTTTATTATTAAATTGAAATCTTCTTTATTTTTCCTTTAGTATCAATTCATGATCACAACAATGTTTATATAATCTGTTGTTAACTATAAAGAGAATGTGGTAGTATTTTCATTTACAAACACATGATTAATTTAATACATGTGAAATTTTCCTGTTTGGTCAAATTTAGATGTTTGTTAATTAATGCATCTTCTCTTTACTCCACAAACCATAGAAATCCATACACCTTAAACTCAATGAAGATGGCAGAATGGATGAACGTGGTAGAGAGTGATGAGTGTCATGCATGAGAAATCAGTGGCACTCTCACAATGAAGTGACTGACTGTTCAGTCTGATGCACATTTTTGCCTGATCAACAAATAGCAGTGGTGACAGCTAGAGTTCAGGAATTGTAAGAATAAACATATTTCATTAAACAGAGAAAAGTAGGAGTTGTTGAACTTAAAAGCTAAGATTCTTATGGATCTAAAAATATTTAGATATAATTCTTCTTAAGTAGAGTAAAGTAGAGTCAGGGGGCCAACATAATACGGGGTATGTGGGGTTTTTTAAGGGCCAAGGTTCATGAAACAGAACTTAACTAAGTTAGATGTCCTAACCACTAACAATTATTTGCAGGAAAACATCTAAAAGAGAACCTCCAAACATGACACACTAATGCACTAATGACCCTTCACTTCGAGTGAACTGGTAGAGACGGGACACGTGCTTAAAATCACCATCAGTTTTTTCACAAACATCAGGCTGTCAATAGGCTTAATTTAGTGCATATGGATAGCTTTAGCATATTTAATGTTGCTAGTACAGTCTAGATAAATATCAAATGATAGTTAGCTTTAGAAAAAAAATAGAATAAGGCAGAGTAAGACCAAATGTAATTTAAACAACTAGGAGGGTGAATGCCCAAGAACATTTACTCCAACAGAAATAGTGCACACCTGAGTTACTTTGGTCTCCCTTGACTGTAAAATTAGGACATCTATCAGGAAACTTCTTATCAAATTTACATAATTGTCGGGAGGAACCACAAGCACAAAGACATTACTGCAATCTTCAACTTAAATACTGTACACAGAGTTATACAGTGTCATAGCTATTAGATATAGTATCTAATAGTATATACAGTGTTCACAAAGTTTTACCTACACAAGTCATACTGCAGATTATTTTGTAACAAAAATGGCTGCTCCTGTTTTGTTTTAAAACAAGTTTTCCCATTTTCATCAGCTTTAAAAATGATCCATGCACACAGCTGTTCATCAACTGGAGTTCGGCCTTTTTTTTTTAGATTAACACATTATGTAAGTTGTACAATATGAAAATGGGTCGCTTTTTAAACAAAAGTGGTGTCACTCAGCTTCACAACTTCAATCAATTACAACAGAACTATAATTAGTACTAGATCGAAAAGGCAGGAGACAACAACATGCTCAACTAGGCTATTAACTATTTTATAACGACCAAAAAAACAAGCTCTTAATTAACACTAGAACTGGATACAATAAATGAAAAGTCTACATACAAGAGATTTTAATACAAAACGTATTGCTACTAATGGAGATCGGGGGTAAAATTTCGGTCAGTTGTCAGGTCAATAAATCCCCCTCGAATCAGCAAAGATTACATGTATAAATTACCGTTGTTTTCTTTGATTTAAAAATGAGCGTCTCTGTGGACAGGCTAACAGATTTAACTCCAGCTGACAGGAAAAACGAAGCAACGTCAGCCAAATGTACACGTTCACACAGGTTGTCACGCTAAGTCAACGACATAGAATTATTTTTACACAGATTCGTGAATAACTGTCAAGTACAGACGATGCATTTGTCGTCAGACAAAAAGTTTATTTCCTCCTGTATAACGTCCGGGTTATGGGCCGTTAGCTGTTAGCCGAGGCTAATGCTACATCAGTAGGTCGTGTTTCTGCTAAACTGTTTTCGCTGACAAACACGGCGTTCAGTTAAAATCCACGGGTGAGACTCAGCTCACTGCCCCACATTCCACTGCCACTTTGCGGGTGTTGTCACGACCGAAAGCCCGTCCACGTACACGCAGCGCCGGTTTATCCACGTCACTTCATTGCAAGGATCCAGCGGCCCGTAGCTAACTTAAAATGGCGGTGAATGCTAGTTAGCTCTGTAGCGACGAAATACGCTCAGTGAAGGAAATACATGACCGAGGAACTCCATTCAAGATATCTCCATGTACTTACCTCTAAATTTAAGGTCAGAGGGAGGGTCGAGAACGAGAATCTGATCCAACTTTGACATGTTTTAGCTGCGGGGATGCACTCGATTTTGGTGTAAAGGAGTAGCTGTCAAGTGGAATCCGTAGATCCCCTGCTACCACCGCTGAGTCAAACGCTGACTGAGGTCTGAGAGAGAACCAGTGTGGATACTAATACAGGAGCGCGCCTCTGCTCGCCGCTGCTGATGCGCGTCCACGTGTCTCGGCAACTGATAAGATTATAGTCCAGGGAAAAGTTTAGACTGCGGAGGAAAAACACCTTATGGGATGACACGAAACTTCACATTGACCTCCTTAGCAAGTCAGGCCTTTTCATTGTAATATTCTTCACTTTTATTTTTTACTTGTTAGCGTCCCCTGTTGTCTAAGTAATGTATGGTATTCTTTGAAATATAAATTATGAGATCACTTAACAAAAGGTACTTTGATGTTGAACCAAATTAAGTTTTGAAAGAAGTCTGACATCATTACCTGTTAAAAGACTAGCATTAAAGGAACAGTATTTAGGAGGCCTGGGTGATCAACTACAGGAATGTTGCCCTATTCCTGTATTTTTCATATTTTTCAAAAAAGTCCAATTACCCTTACCAACCTGAACCGGTATTGTATTTAAAATCGATCACTGCAGTACTTAAAAATCGAGCCTTGGAGTTTATAATATACAGTATATAAATGAAAGTGAAGAGATGATCAACAAAAGAATAAAATAATTATTACTTTATTACACTGATTAATACACAGAGGTTAAATTCTCTAGTAAGGGTGCAGGGAAGTAGGATTAAGGCACACAGAACACTAGGAACACTGCAGGTAACAACACATTGGAAGTTGACTGTTAAGTATACAGTTAGTCTGAACAAATTACATGGAGTTCATGGTTAACAGGGTGTTAATATTTTCAAGACAGCATTGATTTGTATAAAGGCACTAGTGCATCGTCACAAAAAATACAAGATGAGGTGTAGTCTGACAGTTGTCTTCTACTCACTATTCTTGTCATATATATTGTACTTTGCTGTTTTTTTGGCTATTCTATGTGATGTTTGCAGCACAAAAGTAACATCATTCTTAAGACATACGCTAGAAAGAGGCACAGTCGTTAGTCATTGACTTGCAGTAGTCCTGCAGACAGGAGGTTTTGCGTGTTAGCCATCAGAAGACAAAGTAAGCCTTTTATAGTACTATAAAAAACCTTTAAAACTAAAGAATGGACAAGTGTACACGTGTAAGGAGGTTTGCTTTGAAAGTCTAATAAACTACGGCATTTACAACTACTCTGTGTTTCCACTACGCATTGTTGATATTTAGAAGGACGCTGGACTTACAGAACACATGGTTTCAGTGCAATGCAAAGCATTATTACAGCATTTAAAAAAAGGCATCTCGTTGCTAATACTGTGGTTATGGTATGCAAAAGTGCTGATATAAATTTCACTAGTGAGCAAGACCGATGCCACTTAATGGTAACAGGAAAACAACAAACACACAGACCAAATTTTCATTATTTTACAAGCTGTTCGTTTGTCTTTTGGTCTACTATAGGATAATATTGCCACTGTTCTGCAAAAGTTTGGCTAACATACACAACGCAGGTCTAGATTCAGCCTGTCAGAATAATTCATCTTTCAGGTAAAGTATGCATTGTTCTTGACAGTTAAAAAACAGTTATACCCTGTAGTGAAATCTCAGACAGTGCATCACAGCATTTTAGAATTTTTTTTTCTTTTAAAGACACTATGTAAACAATTCTTGGGCTGGTTAGGGAATGTTAACAGGGTCTTAATACTAGTGTGTTTACTCCGCAGCTGTATTCTCTAACACTGACAGAACTGTGAACAAAAACACATGACAACATGGAATGTAAAGCCATTGCGTTACACAACCACACCACTGAATGTTCATCTGATGTGTTGAGTTACTGAGTCTTTTTAAATGTTAATTTTATACAAAGTCCGTGAACAAAAATCCTCTTCTTCAGATGAGTTATTTAGAATTAGTGCTTAATTATTTAATTACTGAATACAGCTGGATTACAGTGGTCCTCGGATGAGACCAGCCTGGTAGAAATTTTGATGTAGTTCAGACAAACACCATCTGAGGGAGACAAATTTCACAAACTCTGTAGCTGTTCAAACTGCCACAACTGGAAAATAATTAAAAAAACATGCTGACTGATAAAACGACACAACAGGCAGATCTTCTAGTTCATGCTGCAAGTGACACAGTTGTGCAAACTGTCATCCGTCTCCATCTGTCCGTCCACGTGACTTTCATAGGAGTAAGACATTGTGTGCATTGTGGACTGTGTGATGTGCGAGTGGGCTCCCTGATCCTGAGGGCGAGGTCTTTTCTGCCCCGGTGTTCGTACTAGCAGCATCTCCTAGAAGACAAGGTCGGCTGTCGGCTGAGTTTAAACGACTCGTTGCTGTCCACCTCAGGGTTTCCCAGGGGTGGGATCTGTTTACCTGAACACACGAGTCAAAACCAGTGACAGAGTGGTTGACATTGGAAATATGAATGATATTTTTGTATTTTGAATTCACATTTGCGAAGAAATCTGTAAAATTTTAAACATTCTTTTCTCTCTGCGTGACAGTAAAACTTTATTAATTCAGTGGTTTTCAAAGTGCGGGGCAGACCCTCCTGGCAGGAACACAGATATTGCGGGCAATTCAGAGCAAATTGAAACAAATTTAGATTTTTAATATTTTCATTATTTTTGCCACATTGTGAAAATTGCACTGATTTTTTAATTTTATTCCATTTGTTCAATGGGAACATAGGTTTTATAGGAATGACAGTGTTTTAAAGTGAACAAATAACTGTGAATGTGTCAACACAGGACGGTGAGACAATAGTAATATCAACTGAACTTTCTGGACTCTGATGCACACACAAAAATGTAACAACTAGTATTTCAGTTCCTGTGTAATCTAATAGTTGGTTTACTGAAAAGAAGATGTGACCCAGGGGGGTCTGTGTTTTTACTATAACAGATTGCATTGTAGGAATCTATTACTAAATCACTGATTTTATAAACAGTATTTTTCTGAAACTACTCTTCTTGATGTATTTTTGCAGATGTACTTTCCCAGAAGTCTGCATATATGCACATATCAATAGGCCAAGCATTACATTTCAGAAATAGAAAATATATTTAGTGAATATAAAAATAACACAGTTTTGAAACCTACTGATTTTCTGAAAGAGCTCCTCCACGTTAACAGCATTTCTGGCACTAGTCTCGATGAAAATGGCTGCGATCGATTCAGCAAAGTCTTTAGCCTCCTTCATCGGAACTTCCCTGTTAGAGAGAGGAACAGACACCACGGTGAGTCTAACATCATCCCTGAGTGGAGAACACCAGTCAGGACTGTTTGAAAAAAGAAGCCAAAAATACACATTCTGGTGACCTTTATTATGGTTTACTGTGACACAATGAGGATAAAACACTTGGTTGTCAAGGGGTTAATGATCAAAAGAAGCCTTTTCTCTGACCTCAGCATTGAAGTCGCCTTAGAAGTTATTCTTTCTCTAAAACAGGGACAGTCCAAGCAAATAAATCAAACAAAGACCTCACCTGATGTCTCCTAGATCGTTCTTGTTCCCTGCTATAGCTACAACAATGTCTTCTGGACCGTGCTCCTTCAGCTCCTTCACCCACTTCTTCAGTGTCTGGAAAGAGTCCTAAAATACAAGAACATGTCCCAGTCAGGTCAGGGGCACTGGAAGGAGCTGTGTCACATCTACTCTCAGTGTTTATCAAATAACTTTTCCAGTTTTCCATGAACAGAGTGGAGAAGAACGACACTTTAGGAAGGAAATAGAAGCAAAGCATCAAGGTGATGGAAAAGTCACTGAATTGTTACATAGTTTTAACTGGCTAAGCAGTAACGACAGGTCAAAGAAGTATTTTGTCACAAAATATCACAGCCCCGCGTAGGGTTATGTAACTGTTGTAACTTCCCTAGAAACGGGGAAAAGTGCTGTTTCCCTCACCAGTTTAGTTATGTCATAGACAATGACAGCAGCAGCAGATCCTCTGTAGTACATAGGAGCCAAGGAGTGAAACTGACAAAGAAAAAAAAAGAGTTTCCATCAAGATTTTTTACATTAAACGTCCAAGGAAAGTTAATAATAATACATTATATACATTAGAATGGTTGAGTATGTGATCAGAAAGGAGTAAAAACACTGATTTAATGATGGCAACATGTTAGTGATGGGAAATATTGAAATTGAGAAAATAGTTTTTTTAATCTTGCTGCTAGTATTTTTATATATATATTTTTCCAATATCTGTATACTGCTGTGGTGATGCTCTACCCAAGAGTTGAAATTGAGGATTTATGGACAGATTGCATCATTTAAAAAAATAAATGTGTCTTAACCATGGTATAACACTTTTTGTGTCTCGAGGAGTATTAGTTTTATGCATTTACACGTGGCTGTTTCAGCAGCACACACTGCTCCTGACTTTAGACACATACACTTCTTTTTTACTGTGTTTCATTACAATAGTTATTGCAGATGCTGAGCGTCTATCTCACATATTTAAAAATCATTCCTTCTCAATAGACAGACAACACAGAATCTAACTTTTTTTTTTCAATTTTCTTGCAAAACTACCAGAGGTTCCCAGATGAAGAGGTTTGTATTACGTCCATTTATTTCTCCATTTTATATTTTTAGCACAAATACATGTAAAGCACGTAACAGAGTGTAAGCAGATCCTCTGGAGGACACAGTGGTATTAATCAATTTGACCGCATCTCTGTGTAGTTCTGTCGCTCACCATCAAAGCACATACTTTCTCCATTAGCCACATTATTTCAATAAGACATTTTACCTGCCATAACAAACCCACCAGCTGCTGGAATTCCACAGTGGACAGTCTAATACAGATTTACGACCACAGCGTGTCAGAAGCGGCCTGTAGCAGAGGTGCTTTGGACTAAATTCTAAGTCCTGCACTGTGTGGCTATATGTAGCTCTACATGTACAATGTGATTTTTCTTCTCATATTTTGAGATTAAAATCAATTTTGTATTTTTTAACCTGTAAATAGCATCCAATAATTCTAATTTAAACGTGTGAAGTGAAGTTTTTGGATGTCAGAAATCCAACTTGATACTTGATATGTAATTTGAACTCTGGCAGCCCATTAGAAAAGTCATTTGAACTCTGGCAGCCCATTAGAAAAGGCAGGTCTGCGCCTGCTGCTCAGCCTGTAAAATCAGAAAAAAAGCTGCAGAACAAACTATACCGTGGTATTAATAATGGCTCCAATGAATCCACCAGGGTGCCTCGGGGAACCATCTGCATCTAGTTTAAGACTTTTGTTCTCACCTGCCTTTAATTACACCATAACAATATATGATTAGAGAGCAGGGCAAGTGGAAATGGCTCAATGCTATCAGGCTAAAGTGAAAATATTGGCAGCTAATTCAGTCTGATGTAAATAAATACAATTTCCATTTACTTTTATTTACAATACTAATGTCATTCAATCACAACCTTCTTTATTTTATAGGCTGGTCTTCATGTTTCCGCTGAGTTTGTACTGGACATGTTGTTGTTTTCCAAACAGACAGAAACAGAAGAGAGATTAATAAAGTGATATTTCAACAAAAGAGTTGGTGTGTGGCGATGATGTCCGGACACCACGGTATCTATTCTCATTCACAAGCAGGAAATACTTGCCCTGGTGTTTTTTTCCATGCTGTAAGCAGCCCTGTGGAGCCTTGACTACACACACCGACACACCCAGCCCCTTCCACTGCCTGCACTGAATCATTTACAGAGGTCTTATGATCTTTCACTCCATGTAAATCCTGATTTCTCACACTCCTGAAGAGCCACCAACACTGAGACAATAGTGTCACTCATGTCTCTAGCTTCGTGATATAGTGTGAAAGAAAGTCAACATAGTTTTATTAAAGTGTGACTCAAAAAGTTGTGACTGTATTTGAGTAAACTCTCACACAGTGGTGATCCAGTGAAGAAACTCTGTAGCGTAAAAACTCACTCGTTCCTGTCCTGCAGTGTCCCAGATTAGAAACTTGTGTAGTTCATGTCCACATGGTACTGTCTTGGTCAGGAACGATGCTCTGTGGACAGAAATGTGCAGAGAACATTCTATCAGACAAGTAAAGGCAAATAACATTTTCTATGGAAATGCATGTCCACATAAATTATAGATGTTTTACTTTTACTCATAATAGCTAAATGTATATTTTCACTTCTTCCTCTTCTTCTATATCACTTAAAAAATACAGTTTTCTGCGACTAACTTCACCTTGGGTCATGGTCTCTGGCGTAACCCTATATTCGTTCTATAATAAATTGCTCTTACCCAATTGTGGGGCTAATGTTGTGGTCAAATCGATCCTGGACAAAGCGGCAAACAATGCTGGATTTCCCCACTCCGGTATCCTAAAAACAGAAAATTCAAAGTCATTTGCAGTACAGCAGAAAAAAAAACACATCAGGGCTCACTATTGACAAATGATGACAAGAACGACACCAATGTATTCAATCAATTAAGGAAACTAGATATAAAATAAAAAACGGTGTTGTACCTGCACACTCCACTAGGGGAACTACAACACCATTTATGCACTACTTACAGTGGAGGCAAGGGGTCAACTGTATGGACTATATATGTCAAATCAAAAATGTTGGTCACATAGTTTTGGCCTGCCTAAAAAGTACCGAGTAATATGTAATCAATTAAGACCGCATTTTTAAAAACTCGTTAAACTGTTTTAAGTCACATTTTTATGCTTCGATTTTGTCATAAGACAAGAAACAGACCAAAACACACGAGTGTGTAGAAAACAAGAAGAAATTAGGAACAGTTTATGAGTGCACAGAGTCCGTGTCGTTACACACAAGTGTGAGATTTGAGACATGAAAGAAATATTTCATGAATGTTCTTGAATCGCCCACAACAGTTACATGATTGTCAGAAACATTCGGTTCCTCTTTTTTAAAACTCGAGTGATGGTTTTAGCCGCCCCTGACCATCCCTGTTTTTTTTTTTTCTTCATTCCTTCTTTTACAGACACCGGGTTTTGCTAACACAGCAGGACCATAACGGATGCTGACTTGTAGCGGTGTATGACGTTACTGCTTAGAAACTGGAAAAATACAAAATCCAATGTTTATTTTTTTATATATAAGAAATGGGTGTCACACAGTGTCTGAATGCGTCAAACTGTATGCTGCGCTCACTGGTTTAAGAGCTGACGACATTTTAGTTAAAAAAATGTTTACAACAAGTTTGTCTCCTAACTAAAACACAAACTAAGGAAAGAATACGTTTTGAAAAACTAAAAAACAAAACACACAGGTTACACCCTTTAGTTTTTGTTAAAGTGCTGCCAACGTTAAAACGCCGTGTCTCTGTTGTTTCCACTCAGAGCAGACTGAAGAATTTTACCCAAATTCGGATCGACAAAAACGGGTAACTTACCCCTAACAGGCAAACTTTGAGCTCTCTTATAGCCATGGCGAGTCGTGCAGGTTTTTCAAATCATTATCTGCTGGAGTTGTAATCAGTATCTCTGTCTCGTCATGTTTAAACGCCGATTTCGTTGAAAATTATTTAGCTCTCTCGCCTTTGTTGAACAAACTGAGCTCCAGAGTCAGACAGATACCACTGAACGCCTCATCTGTTCTGTCAGCACAAAATTAAAGGACCGTGGGGCTTCCGCCGGAAGCTTTCAAAATAAAGATCAGCTACTAGTCTTGAATTTATTACAGAGACTCAAAAGGGACACAGAGAAAAGACTAAATAAACAAACGTTTCTGGCGCTCACCTGTAAGTTTCAGTTGAGCACGTGACAGTTTCAGGTGCACACCATTCAGAATTGTAGAGACATACGTTGCATTCTTAATACACTTCCATATATAGCAAATAATTTCATAAACATGAAAATTTAAACGTTACCTTTATTTTGGAAACACGTTATTTCCGGTAGTGGGTGTATTTGAGCAATTCCAACCTGATAAGGCATCTTTTCAAATAGGAAACTAGGTCAAAATAAAATATAGACACAATTTAATTTAAAAAAAAAATTTAAAAAAAATACAACTTCATCAGGGTAAAGTTTCAGAGAATGTTTTATTAAAATAAGACACAATAAATATGGGCCACAAACCCAACTCAAGGTGTAATTTAGAAGAAAGGTAAACACTTACATGACTTAGATTGATACTTTATTCTTCACAGCATTAATCCATCTGCAACAATACGCTACGAAAGCCATGAACAATATAAAAATAAGCTCAGGAGAAGCTTCTCAGCCAAGTCAAGCATTTATCCTCTTCAGTCACAGGGTTGAAGAACACACTGAATCATGAGTCCACATGAGATTGATTTGAATTGCCCAAAACCAAAGCAAACACAGCCACACTAACATAGTTTAAACTGGACATGGGTTAAAAAATATATATATGACAAAACAAAAGAGCTGAAAATACAATATATTTGCAATTTTACAACAATATACAAGTATAATCATTAGGACAGGGCCATAATACACACTTTTAGTCACAGTCATGGAACATTGGTGAAATTTAAGGACAGGATTTCCTCCTCATCTTAGAAACAGTCTATACTTCAAGTTAGCACTCTTAACTGTTCAGGTGTGTTTCTAACTCCTTCATGACAGTGACCTGAAACTCTTAACAGGGAGTACTTTGTCATGTTTAAGTACTGACAAAGAAAGGTACAGTTTTATAGACAAAGTAATTGTTTCATCAACAAAAGCCAACACTCATCATTGAAGATGATAGTCGTTAGTTGCAGCTCTTGACTTCATACACAAGTTAAAAAAGAGCAATGACTGAAATAAAATGCACAGCAAGAGTAAAGAGACCTCCTGTGTGACTATGTACAGAGGCTGCAGACAAAAATGACACAGTGAAGAAACACCATCTCCTACCTGTTCTTATTGGTGCAATCAATGACTTGTAAGTAAGGCTGCAAAGATTACACAGAGTCAATGAACAGATCAATACTACATTACTGAACAACTGTTTGTGCGAAGTGTCAATTTGCACTTGCAAACACTTCTTAAAGTAGTATTTTCTCATGTTTTTCTAACTCTATTGCATAATGTGAAACTAGTTGATAGTCAGATTATTCTGTCAGATTAATCGGTTGCAGCCCTACAGAGAATGTATTTACTCCTTCACCATGAGAAACACTGACACCTGATGATGCTTTAAAGTCAGTTGTTTCATTTGCCGTTTGTGTTTCAAACCACAGCTGGGGAACACAAAGCTGTGGGTCAAAAAAAATAAATATTCAATCATTAACAACAGACTCAAACATGTACCCATATATTACTACAATGTTGTTAATTAAATCAATGTCATTTTCCAAGTGTATTCTTGAGAATACTACTTAAATATATAATATATAGACAGACCAATTACAAATTAATTATTATTTAGGAAGAGCTTTGTTTGTGTTAGTGGTTCTCTACGTTCATCTTCATCTTCGTTATGGCACAGTGGTCTTGGTTTCAACAGGTTTGCAGCTAGAGACTGAGTTCATCTTTACAGATTATTTCTTACATCTTTGCGTGTGAAAAATAAGATTTTCATAAACTGCTCTCTCTCTCTCTCTAGCTGTGTCCACCCCTACATGCAGGCTTGGCACTGGACTTTAAACTATTCTTTATCCTCACCGGTTGTTGGCTACGACAGTGACTACATTTCTATTTCTTTTGTGTCTTCTGTGATAATGAAAACAGTGAAGTAAATCTGTGCTGTTAGTTGGGGGGACATTTACAGGATTTTTCTTTTACATGACTGCCACCAAAAAACAAACCCCTAATAAATGCACTGATCAGGTGACATGAAGTCTCCAGTGGATGACAGGTGACACTACAGGACAACAGCCTTCATAAACCTCCCCGACCTGTCATTTGTTTGCATCTCTCCTGTCTTTGCTCGGTGAGGGTTTCGGGGGATCCTTCGCTGCTTTCCCATTGGCTGAGGCAACAGGAGCGGCCGTGTCGGTGTTAGCAGCCACTGTGGTGACAGTGCGTTTTGTTTGCTCCTCGCTATGAGCCTCGGGGCTTGGTTGAGTGGGCGGTGCCGGGTCAGGAGGCGGCTGGACGGTCAGTTCTTGCTGCAGTTTTTGATTCTGCAGTAGACGCAGCTGGACACGAAGCTCCAAGATGGCCTCCTGCTCCTCGTGAATGGCCTGGTTCAGGTGTGTGTTTTTGTTCTTTAGACAAGACAACAGTGAACAGATCTTTTAACTTTTCCTTTATAGAAATCAAATTCTAGAAATTCCATAAGTCACCGCACAGGTGAAAACAAAGTTGTTCCTTCTGCTTTCCAGTTCCACCTGCCTGGACTTAAAATGTTTACACACAATCACTTCCTGTGTTGTGTCTGATCAGAGTCCATTTATCAGGCAAACATTGTTACATTGATTCAGTTTATGGAGATTAACAGGGGCCTTAAACTATTTAAATATTATAAAGGGAATAATGTAGTGAATTGAGGAAGTTAATAAATATTTGATTGTTTGGTATCTAAGAACATCTGAGTGAAGTTTCACACAGTAAGAACGGTAGTAGACAGAAATGTGATGATAGTTTAACAGCTGCTGACAAGATTCATAATGGAATCACTATTACACAAGCACTTCTTCACTGATTAAATATTTCTTCTGTTTACTGGAGAAGTTAGACCTCAGTGTTTAATACAGATCTTGTGGATTTACCTCTACTCAAACTTGAGTCTAAGACGATCCTCTATTATATATCATTAAAGGTTTTCCTCACCTCCAGTTCTTCATTTTGCTTCTGCAGATCTTCCAAAATCATCTGCAGCTCCTCCTCATCTTCGCTCTCACTTTCACTGTCTGATGAATACTCCTCCGTTTCGCTGCGGCCCTGCTGACGACTGCAGTAGAAGACAATTGGATTATAAAACGTATCCGCGTGAGGGACGTACTTTATTCCCACAATGACGGGACATGTCGTACCTTTGTATGTCAGCGATCTCGGCCCGCAGCCTCTCGATCTCTTCTTTCTCATTTGCTATTTGTCTACGAAGCACCTGCTCCAGTGAGATCAGCTCCTCCTGCTCCGTTAGGATCTCATTTTCCTGCCGAGGATACCGACATCACAGTTACCAACAGGAAAGCTCCAGACATGCTGTTGGTCAGAGTGCACTCTATATCAGTGTGTGCAGTTCAACTCACCTGTGCTAAGAGGAGGTTGATGACTTCCTCCTCATTCTCAGTCATTTCTTCTTTTGAAACATCTTCTTTCGACAGGCTGGCTATCTCCTGAGCTATTTTAGTTTCACATTCCTTAAAGAGAGCGAGATATGATCAGATATTTGCAACAACGCTGTTTAAAAAAAGGTTTAATTAAACTTTTAACTAATAACAAATAATTTTGACAGCTGTTGATGTGGCTGACCTTAACTAATAACAAATCATTTTGACAGCTGTTGATGTGGCTGACCTGGCGTTTGGCCTCCCTTAGTTTGCGTTTAAGAGCCGTCAGGATTCGCTGAACTTCCCAAAGTCGCTCTTCTTTAGACAAATCCTTCACCCCTGCCTGCAGGTCTCTGTGCAGACAGTTCAATAAGAACTCCTGCAAAACAGACATTTATGTTAATGGATGAGATTTGGCCCCATTTATCTCATGATGACCAGATGTCAGGACGCTGTTTTATGTTTCTCATCTTTGTACCTGTAAATACCCATTCCAGGCCTATAGGGGGCGCCAAGTACACATTTAAAAGTCCTGACTGAGAATTTCATTGTACAGTACACTCCCCAGTAGTCATTAGGCATTTAAAGACACTAACACTAAACCAACCTGACGCCTGATCTCCTCTTTGATGCTCTCCTGAGTCTCAGGCAACGCCGGCATTGTTGCCATGTTGGACCAGCGAAGAGGTCTCACCACTGGCTTCAGCACAATATCGCCAAACAATTCCGTCACGTGTGTGAAGAAGATGTACAGAACTCGGTTACCAATCTGAAAACAAGGTGTAAAGTGTGGATAGGGTTACAAGTGGAAGCTGACACACTGACACATTAGTGAAGGAACTGTATGATGAAAACTGATACATTTCCATCCACTCATCTCATGTATGCATTTGTACAGCTAAAAGTCAACATAATGTCAAGTATAATTACATTAAAAACAGTATTCCATATATTCATGGAGATATATTTATTGACATTGTTGCTAATTGATGCTAATTTTATGCAATATTAGGTAAATAAAAGTGATTCATATCTGGCAGAAACCACCACTGCTGCTGTTGCTTGAGAATAACTGGAGCACCCTGTCGGGATAAATTAGCACACAAGACTGGGCCAGGGTTTCTCAGAACTGGTTAATCATGTGGAATGTAGTACCACTGTAGCTTAAAAGAAATTTCTGATCTTTTACACAAAGTTAAGGCAAAACAAAGAGAGAGGATGAAGGTGAGAAAGAGATAGAGACATGGAGAGGACTAGAGGTGATTGTCCTCCTCTCACCTGTATAGTGGGGTTAAGGACAATGGAGATATTCTGAATATTCATCTTGGTGTCAGCTTCCTTGGAGATGACATGGTTCATGTGTGTGATGAGCCAGGAGAGGAGTAGTCGACTGTCGGGTGACACCTCCGACAGAAGCTTCTGAAACTCTGTCACCTTCTCTGCCTCCACCTGCCGACCACAGGCGTCCTCAAAGCGCTGGGCCAGATCTCGGCCTAGCAAGTTCTCTGGCAGCTCACGCAAGTACTGCTTTAGTAGACTGGCAACCGTGTGGGGGTCATACTCCTCCAGACAGGGGCACTCCTCCCGATCATAAGCCGCTTTCAGCTCATCCACCTTTGACTTCATACCTTCAACATACAAATAATCAGATTATCTGTCATACACACTACCGTAGATTCTAGAAAATAGTCTGGAGAGAAAATTAAATCTTCAACATAAACAGGTTCCTTTACCTGAGACCCGGTAGATTCCCTCACATTTCATGCCATAATTTTCAATATAGTCCACACACTCTCTGAAGATGGCCGGCAGCTGAATGCCATCGTACAACGTTGTCCTTTTGACGGCTTCAGCCAGAGAAACGCCAAAGATAGGCCTGAAGGTGGGGGCCTCCACTGGGACTGCCTCTGCCTCTGTGGTTGGTTTCTTCTTCTTCTTCTTCTCCTTCCACTGTTTGACCACATCAGCTGCAGTCAGGTCTTTGGATTTTTTATCCTTGCTCTTGTCTTCCTTGGGGCCCTTCTCCTTCACTTTGAAGTCTTTCTCTCTCTTCTTGGAGAAGCTGGGCTTCTTGAAGACGTGGATTCCTTTGGAGCGTTTCATCTTGGACGGGCTTTCTGCTTCGTCTGCAGAGCTGTCCTCCTGGAATGCGGCGTAGCCTTCCGCTGTAAAGGCAAAGAGAAACAAATGGTTGAGGTTCTAAGGTTGATGGTTCTAAGGTGAGGATGGAAACACTCGAGACATTCGTCTCCCGTTCTTAAAAACAACTATGGCAGCGATGAAACAGGAAGAGAGAGATGTGTGAGATAGAGGGGGAGAGGGAAGAACGGGGACTTGAAAAAGAGGTCATCTCCGCTGATGAAGCATCGCTCCCATTGCACTTCACAGACTAAATATAATTTTTGTCCTCTGAGCATATCAGGAAAAAAAATGTCAAGGACACAATTATCTGTACTGTGGGTTTCCCACAGAAGATCACTGTACTGTATATCACAACAATGCTTCAGTCACACCCACACATAACTCCCAGGGTGCATCCTGGTCTAGGAAGCCCTGAGAAATCCACATGTAAAGTGGAAGAAGAACCTTTAATAGATTGTTTAATAGATTTCAGTGATAGTCAAAGCAGCACACAGTGGACAACATTTCAGGTACTACTGCTTTCAATCAAATAGCTTGCAGTGAAGACATAATCAATTTGTGGGGTTTTAAATAATTGTTAGAGTTTGTTTTTTTGTTTTTTTGTATTTAAATAAAGGAAATACTCTTTAAACAAAGAGGAAAACTGAAACAGACACTTAGGTGTCAAACCATTAAAATGTTTATACTAATTAACCATAAGGTGGCTGTGGATTATTAGTGATTAACCATTATTGATTTTGATTGTAGTTAATAATTATTATTAAATCAATTATTCATGCTGAAGCTACATTTCAAATATGACAAAAAAAGTTTTTAATTTTTATTTATAACTAATCCAAATAATATAAATATTAATATGGAAATTGTCAAGAAGGTTACAATTTAAGGTTAAAATATTGTTTAATAGATTTCAGTGATAGTCAATAACTCCCAGGGTGCATCCTGCTCTAGGAAGCCCTGATAAATCCACATCTAAAGTGGAAGAAGAACCTTTAATAGATTGTTTAATAGATTTCAGTGATAGTCAGTAAAGAAACAAGATCTTGTTCTATTTTAAGTAAATGAAAGAAAAATAATTATGTAAATTTCCCCATTGTGGGATGAATGAACAACTTCTTAATCCTAATGAATTTGCACAATCATTACTTACTCCTCTTCTCTTTTTTCTTAAACTTGTTCTTCTTCTTGCTGTGCTCTTTGTCATCATCTGAGACGTAGGCATCAGGTGCCTCGTGATGGTGGCCATCGTGAGGTGGTGACGGTTCACCAGTGCGGTACAACCCTGGAAACTTGGTCGGGCTGATTTCCTCAGAGCTCGGGCTACGTGCCACACCCCCTGGGTGTTCAGCCCTGCGCTGCTCAGCCGGACTGCTGCTGCTGGGGGGCAGGAAGCACTCAGTCATGGCTGCTGTGGCCTGGTCACTGCTCTGGCTGCGTGGACATCACCTCTCCATCACACCTGTAGTACAAGTAAATACTGTCATTGTTGTGATCATCCTAGGTGAACATCCTATGCTGTGGTTTGGGTAAAATCAACTTAATATATCAAGATTATTTAGGTTTCCCACCAAATAGAAAGCAAGTGTGTTGAAAAACAAAGTCAGTCATGCTGCAGTGTGCTGGGTTTGTCTTTTTTCAGGGTTGCAAAATTCAATGTTAGTGTGAAAAAAACAATTACACTAGTAGCTATCAGGGAGGTCATTCTGTGTGGATATATCTGTACTTCTTCAGTTTTACTTTGCTCATAGGAGCAGAAACACTTCCTGCTGCTGGACAGAATCCACCAAAACTGCCACAATACCTGTCGTTTTATACCTCCTTGTGTGTTTCAAAAAAAAGTTACAGATGTCTTTTTGTCACAGTGTCCCAAGTAAAAGTTTCAAAGTTTACTAAGACAGCTTATCCTAAAACTAATGAGTTATTTACCAATTATGCATAAGTAGAAAGAAAACCAACAAAACACACTGTGTAAACTAAATATAGAAAGTAACGAATATGATTAGATTTATGGATTAAATTTTGAATTTAAGTTAATTAACATTGTGGCCATATTTACATGGTTCACTACATGAAAAAATAAAGTGTATCAAGCCTTGGAACAACATTTAAATAAAAATATCAACACATCTGCCCTAATGTCCTGAGCTACAGTACAGAAATGTGGCTAAAGGACTTTCTGTCTGTGTGACATCATCTCTAGCTTCACGGTTTTCTTTGTACGGATAGTTTAAGGAGATAATGTAACTAAATGCAACCGCTAACATGTCCTGCCATTACTGTGAAATACTCGAGTGTCTTTCTGTACTTTCCAAGGAAGACACATTTACATATGTGGCAGTTATAAAGTAGAGGCTGTGGTCTGAATGGATGGGCCCATAATCTGACGTTACTTCAACCAGCTGCCGACCTGCTAAGCTAACTAATTAGCCCCGTAGCTCGCTCCTGGTTCAAACAACAGACTCGCCCATTTAAAAATAACATCACGGCATACAAAGTTAGTTACAGGTGCAAAGTTTCAGTAGTCATCAGGCTTATTTTGTTTAACAAGTCAAACATAAGAGACAAAAAACTTTACCAGTGTCTGTCCCGTTCGACCAATTTCAGCGATAAGCTTCCGGTTGTGTATACAAATAACACCAGTGCGCTTGCGGGTCGTCAGAAGTGCACGGTGGGAAATGTAGTTAAACAGATCCAAACGTAAGAAACTGGTGTATATCTACTACTTATACACGCGAACATTTTGAGTATTTAGTTGTCATTTACACATTATATATTTATCATGTTCACTTTGGGTCCAATTCTTTTATAATATTATAATATTGCGTTGAACTTGCCGCACCCATTTCACTGCTGGTGTACGTGACAAAATAAAAATATTGAAGTAAGCTACAGTAAATATATAATGTTAAACTCTAGTGTTTATATCTTATAAACATTCCTCGTCAATTAATAGTGCGTGTTTATTTACATTAAATCTGGGGCAATTGGAACAAATACCTTTTATTTTTTTCGAATGAAGCAGCAATATCTATATTTAGTATATTATTGTTGAATTAATTTTTTATTAACCGAGGTTCACCTACAGTACTTTTACAAACCACCAGTGGGCTCTAGTATACACCGTTGGATGCACTGGTCTGGTTTAATGGCCCGGGATGACTCTGGGCTGAATACAGATGTCTAAGCTGCAGTGGTGTTTTGATCCCAACCACCCGTTCGCTGTTAAACAAGAACAACTGTCAAACTATCTTGTGTAAGTCATCTACAGTATTCAGTGTATTTACATCTAAATTTGGAGAAACCACATGTGTACTTTCCTCAGAGTTGTGGTCAGAGTCAGAGGCCTGGTGGTCATTCTGACACATGACAAACATTAGTCTTCTGCAGCAGCGGAAAGTACAGAAAGATTATGACACAGCACAGAAAATATTTCATGCCATAATTTTCAATATAGTCCACACACTCTCTGAAGATGGCCGGCAGCTGAATGCCATCGTACAACGTTGTCCTTTTGACGGCTTCAGCCAGAGAAACGCCAAAGATAGGCCTGAAGGTGGGGGCCTCCACTGGGACTGCCTCTGCCTCTGTGGTTGGTTTCTTCTTCTTCTTCTTCTCCTTCCACTGTTTGACCACATCAGCTGCAGTCAGGTCTTTGGATTTTTTATCCTTGCTCTTGTCTTCCTTGGGGCCCTTCTCCTTCACTTTGAAGTCTTTCTCTCTCTTCTTGGAGAAGCTGGGCTTCTTGAAGACGTGGATTCCTTTGGAGCGTTTCATCTTGGACGGGCTTTCTGCTTCGTCTGCAGAGCTGTCCTCCTGGAATGCGGCGTAGCCTTCCGCTGTAAAGGCAAAGAGAAACAAATGGTTGAGGTTCTAAGGTTGATGGTTCTAAGGTGAGGATGGAAACACTCGAGACATTCGTCTCCCGTTCTTAAAAACAACTATGGCAGCGATGAAACAGGAAGAGAGAGATGTGTGAGATAGAGGGGGAGAGGGAAGAACGGGGACTTGAAAAAGAGGTCATCTCCGCTGATGAAGCATCGCTCCCATTGCACTTCACAGACTAAATATAATTTTTGTCCTCTGAGCATATATCAGGAAAAAAAATGTCAAGGACACAATTATCTGTACTGTGGGTTTCCCACAGAAGATCACTGTACTGTATATCACAACAATGCTTCAGTCACACATAACTCCCAGGGTGCATCCTGCTCTAGGAAGCCCTGATAAATCCACATCTAAAGTGGAAGAAGAACCTTTAATAGATTGTTTAATAGATTTCAGTGATAGTCAGTAAAGAAACAAGATCTTGTTCTATTTTAAGTAAATGAAAGAAAAATAATTATGTAAATTTCCCCATTGTGGGATGAATGAACAACTTCTTAATCCTAATGAATTTGCACAATCATTACTTACTCCTCTTCTCTTTTTTCTTAAACTTGTTCTTCTTCTTGCTGTGCTCTTTGTCATCATCTGAGACGTAGGCATCAGGTGCCTCGTGATGGTGGCCATCGTGAGGTGGTGACGGTTCACCAGTGCGGTACAACCCTGGAAACTTGGTCGGGCTGATTTCCTCAGAGCTCGGGCTACGTGCCACACCCCCTGGGTGTTCAGCCCTGCGCTGCTCAGCCGGACTGCTGCTGCTGGGGGGCAGGAAGCACTCAGTCATGGCTGCTGTGGCCTGGTCACTGCTCTGGCTGCGTGGACATCACCTCTCCATCACACCTGTAGTACAAGTAAATACTGTCATTGTTGTGATCATCCTAGGTGAACATCCTATGCTGTGGTTTGGGTAAAATCAACTTAATATATCAAGATTATTTAGGTTTCCCACCAAATAGAAAGCAAGTGTGTTGAAAAACAAAGTCAGTCATGCTGCAGTGTGCTGGGTTTGTCTTTTTTCAGGGTTGCAAAATTCAATGTTAGTGTGAAAAAAACAATTACACTAGTAGCTATCAGGGAGGTCATTCTGTGTGGATATATCTGTACTTCTTCAGTTTTACTTTGCTCATAGGAGCAGAAACACTTCCTGCTGCTGGACAGAATCCACCAAAACTGCAGTCTATCTCTGCCACAATACCTGTCGTTTTATACCTCCTTGTGTGTTTCAAAAAAAAGTTACAGATGTCTTTTTGTCACAGTGTCCCAAGTAAAAGTTTCAAAGTTTACTAAGACAGCTTATCCTAAAACTAATGAGTTATTTACCAATTATGCATAAGTAGAAAGAAAACCAACAAAACACACTGTGTAAACTAAATATAGAAAGTAACGAATATGATTAGATTTATGGATTAAATTTTGAATTTAAGTTAATTAACATTGTGGCCATATTTACATGGTTCACTACATGAAAAAATAAAGTGTATCAAGCCTTAGAACAACATTTAAATAAAAATATCAACACATCTGCCCTAATGTCCTGAGCTACAGTACAGAAATGTGGCTAAAGGACTTTCTGTCTGTGTGACATCATCTCTAGCTTCACGGTTTTCTTTGTACGGATAGTTTAAGGAGATAATGTAACTAAATGCAACCGCTAACATGTCCTGCCATTACTGTGAAATACTCGAGTGTCTTTCTGTACTTTCCAAGGAAGACACATTTACATATGTGGCAGTTATAAAGTAGAGGCTGTGGTCTGAATGGATGGGCCCATAATCTGACGTTACTTCAACCAGCTGCCGACCTGCTAAGCTAACTAATTAGCCCCGTAGCTCGCTCCTGGTTCAAACAACAGACTCGCCCATTTAAAAATAACATCACGGCATACAAAGTTAGTTACAGGTGCAAAGTTTCAGTAGTCATCAGGCTTATTTTGTTTAACAAGTCAAACATAAGAGACAAAAAACTTTACCAGTGTCTGTCCCGTTCGACCAATTTCAGCGATAAGCTTCCGGTTGTGTATACAAATAACACCAGTGCGCTTGCGGGTCGTCAGAAGTGCACGGTGGGAAATGTAGTTAAACAGATCCAAACGTAAGAAACTGGTGTATATCTACTACTTATACACGCGAACATTTTGAGTATTTAGTTGTCATTTACACATTATATATTTATCATGTTCACTTTGGGTCCAATTCTTTTATAATATTATAATATTGCGTTGAACTTGCCGCACCCATTTCACTGCTGGTGTACGTGACAAAATAAAAATATTGAAGTAAGCTACAGTAAATATATAATGTTAAACTCTAGTGTTTATATCTTATAAACATTCCTCGTCAATTAATAGTGCGTGTTTATTTACATTAAATCTGGGGCAATTGGAACAAATACCTTTTATTTTTTTCGAATGAAGCAGCAATATCTATATTTAGTATATTATTGTTGAATTAATTTTTTATTAACCGAGGTTCACCTACAGTACTTTTACAAACCACCAGTGGGCTCTAGTATACACCGTTGGATGCACTGGTCTGGTTTAATGGCCCGGGATGACTCTGGGCTGAATACAGATGTCTAAGCTGCAGTGGTGTTTTGATCCCAACCACCCGTTCGCTGTTAAACAAGAACAACTGTCAAACTATCTTGTGTAAGTCATCTACAGTATTCAGTGTATTTACATCTAAATTTGGAGAAACCACATGTGTACTTTCCTCAGAGTTGTGGTCAGAGTCAGAGGCCTGGTGGTCATTCTGACACATGACAAACATTAGTCTTCTGCAGCAGCGGAAAGTACAGAAAGATTATGACACAGCACAGAAAATTTAGACCCAAAAATATTAAAATCAGAAAATGAATTCTCACTTTTGTTGCTTGTAAACTACACAATTAGAAAATAATTATGTCAATGACAAAAGAAACAATCAGCTGCACAACTGGGTTTAAGTTTTAAGCATCGTAACATTCTTATGTCTGTAAGTTGTTAACTTCATGCAAGGCTGTTTACTTGTGAGGTAGTAGTTTTGTCTGCCTGAATTTAATACCTGTGCTCAATTAAACAGATCTGAAAACACTGGCATCTGATGTTTGTTGCCATCATCTGCTTCAAATCCAGAGCTGGTGTGGTAAATAAGGCCGTGATTAAAAACACACTCACCTCCACACACAACAACCTAGCTAGCCAGCTCTCACATACACCCACACAAGGCCCCACCATACTGTATTTGTGTTGTTTTGTGTGTATGTATGTATGCATATATATATATATGCATATATATATATATATGCACACATACTGTACATCGATATAGCCAACATATACAAATATTTGTTTGCATGTGACATCATATGTGACATGTGACAAAGATGACCACAAAAAATTTTAGAACCTGTGATAGTGCCCCCTGCTGCCTCTAAGGGATGCAAAGTGTTCAGAAATTGAAATGTGTGTGTAGCAGAGAGCTCAGCATCTGCACATGTTCCCATTTTCCCCTCACTTAGACCTGACAGTCAGAGAGCAGCGAGTGAACAACTGTGAGGCAGAATGGCATAATAACAACTTTGTTTCTCCAGGAAATGATGTGTTTCCTGAGTCCGTCAACACGAGGCCAAGATTACAAGCAGGACACAGGCAGCAGGGAGCACACGCGCATGAAACTTTACCAATACATTAGGTGTTTACTCACATTTGTCTAATAAAAAAATATATGACAGACCAAAGCTAATAAAAGCAAATCCATCCACAACACCAAACTTTTCTTTATTTGGCATGAGATTTGGATTTGGAAGAACGTGAATGTAAAAATACATTATTCATATACAACTCTAGTAAAAAAACAAAAACAAAAAAACACAAAAATATACAGTGAAATATAACAGCAGAATAAAAAACACTTTGCAGGAGTAGAGGGAGTCGGGTGGAGGGATATTTTACAAGACAAGCGAGGAATGCTAGCACATAGTAATTTCCTCTGCGCTCAGTCCTTTGGTACAGCCCAGACATTTGGTTCCAACATGTGTCCACACTTCAGAAGAGACAGTTCATACACTTCACAGCCTTGCTGCCGTAGTCCACGCACTCAGGGCCGATGCACTGACAGCAGGCATTGTGGAACCAGCGGTATTTGGATCCCCCCATTGACTCACAGTAAAGTTTACACTGACGGATGGACACGCAGTCGTCAAAGTAGACCACCGTGCACATGTTTTCTGTTGGGTGAAAAAAAAATTAAATGAGTCATAAACCTGTTTACCGTGGTTTCAGGGAAATGAGCAGTGATTAGCTTTAACCCTTAGCTTTTAGCTCTGAGTGAAACTACTTTGCTGCACATAAATATGATCACGTGTTCTGAGTCTGAGTTAAGCTCTGCTGGAACACTGCTGTTAGGGCATTATTAAGCAAATAGCCAAGAGAGAGACAGAAGAAAGAGCAATAATGGGAACTAGAGAACTCCAGCACATGGTCTAGATGTCAACGCAAAACTTGACTGGCTCCAACACGAGCACAAAAGATACATTTGGGCTTTTCTCAGATAAGCCAGGTGCAACCACCAACTGTGTTCCTTCATTTATGTCCAATTAGACTGGTATGAAACCAAAGAAGACTTATACACAGGTAGGTTTGTACATCTGTGCTAAGCTAAGTGGCTCTTGCTGATACCTTGAGCGTCGTAGCTGGTGTGAATGCTGTTGCCCGGCACGGACACGTTCTGGGGCTGGTTGTCCAGAGACTCCAGGAAGGACACCAGGTTCTCGTGATGCGAGAGCTCCTCGGCGACGGGGAAGGACACCACCATCATGTTGATGGGAGCGTCACCTTCTGTGAGTGCGCGGAACAGCGACGGGATGGGACGGTGCAGCTCCTCCACTGTGCTCTTGGACGTGGCTGGGGAGTCGCTGTAGTTCTTGGGGTTACACATCCCTGAATAACAGAGTGATGGGGGGGGGGCAGGTGAGGGACAGAAAATGAGTCATCTATTAAACTACACTTCACTGTATGTCAGTTTATTTTAAAGCTTTGTTATGTTATTATTATTATTAAACAATAAAAACAATTACACGAGGCCATGGGCCATGAAGGCCATGAAAACATAGGTTCAAATCCCTATGAAAATAAGTATATACGTAAATATACATACATACATACACACACACACATATATATATATATATATATAATGAGTATGAAAATTTGTGTGTTTCTATATGTAGCCCTGAGCTAGCTCACATCTTTGTTTCTGTCTCGGTTTAACAGTCGAAGACCCTCCCGGGTTAATTCCGCTCTCTCGTTGAGCTCAGTTTTGTGAAGCCACACTAGCGTCAGGAATATTTTGGACTCAGCTAGGGCCTTCGTAACACTTCATTTATTTTCCAAATACAGTAGTAATGACTTTGTCAAAGCTTTCACATCCTCACGTATCGCCTTCCTAACCAGTTTTAATGACTCCAAGTGAATTACAGCTAATGGGTAAATCATTTAATAGGAACGGACTTTGACAGAGGAATTGGATTACGGAGCCATGCTAAAAGCAGAGCCAGAGCAGCTGTTTTAGATAAAGGGTTACACATGAGTCCTCTCTGGTGCATTCTCCCTCCTCCTCCTCCTCCTCCTTCTCCCCAAATTCAAACCGTCCTCAACTCCCTCCGTGCTCCTCCGCCAAAGTGAAACACACTGATACACACATCAAAGCTGCTCACACTCAGCTCCACAAACATGTTTGGAGAGGAAACGTACTTCAGGAGGTAGTGGAGCTAGTGCTATTTTTATATACAACAGTACGTATATAATGAAAGAGAGAAATAAATCGTCAGTCAAACTAACAGGAGTGTCAGCAGCGGGCAGGTCTGAAAACTCTGCTGCTGTAACATCTGCACAGCAGAAAGCAGTCTGAGTGTCAGACGCTTGTACATGTGTTCCACATGAAAGAACGTTAATAAGGATTCCTTGTCGGTACACACAGTAATGTGTCCATCAAAGCTGACGGCGGATCCTGACAGTGTGAGGATCAGGCGGGGGCTGGGGGGTCACGGAGATGTGGTAGAATGGAAGGCATGAGGCAGCATTTATCCATGTAATACAAACCTGGTCCACGATCCTGACCTTGGTACAAAATAACTTTGGTGAGTTCAGTGGAATATAAATATTTTTGGGGATTTTTTTTTTTGCGCTTTTGACCAATTGCCCCTCAAACAAGGAGGCAAGGTCAAAGGTCATGACAGCAAATTGATAAACCCTCTCGAATCCCTTCAACTCCACTCCTTAGGCAACTTCCATGGTTTGATCTACAGGAAATTCCTTGCCAATCCCCGTCACGTTTCTCTTTCCTTTGTTCTGCGTTACAGTCCACGTCCTCTGCTCTGTCTGCCTTCACTCACGTCACACTGGTTTAATTTTAGGACAGCAGCTCTCTGCTCAAACTGATTCCGCCCTCCAACCTCAGCACCTCCTAACTGCCAAGTGCATTAAAGCCACAAACTAATTTTCTTAGACAGTGAGAGAGTGCAGAGCGGCACAAACAACCAGGCTCATATAGACACAAAATCTCTTTCGTCCTCTTCTTGATTTAATTTTTTTCTTGTTTACCCAAAATCAATCATTTTTTTAATCCCACTTTTTTATCTATCTGTGGACCACTTTGTGAACTCTTTCTGTGAAAAGAGCTGTAAAAATAAACTTTTACTCTTTTTACTCTACTAAACATTCTAGCAATAACAATATTGGTTTAAAATTCAAAATGCAAATATTGAAAAGATTTACTGAAAAAATTCTAAATGTGTCAATTGTATAAAATAATAAAAGGATTTAACAAAAGTGATCAGAAGTATTAAAAAACAAAACAGTTTTGATGCAAAAGTCCTGGCATTGATACAACAACTCCAGCCTCCAGACGTGGCTTGTAATTAACCATCTGTTCAAATGTGCTCAGTTACAGCACGTCAGTATGAGTGGGACTGAATCAAAACTGCTAAGTGCAAATTAAAACCAACAGGTTCCTGCACTCACCCACGCAGTCGCAGCACTCCTCCCACAGGTTACCCAGACACAGCATGCACTCTTTACAACAGGAACAGTTCCCGTCAGTTGGACGACACTGGCACAGCTCCTGTAACACAACACAGAAGAACACAAAAGAACGGTGAAACACACAACACAGCAAAAAGTCACTTATTATTATTATTTATGATTCTCTATTCTTTCTATAAACATAATACACAGAGCATGGAGCAAATATAGGACCAGGAACACTCAAAAGATCTTAAGACTGGGTGATTTAAATAATGAGTGCTTTGTTATGAATTAGTGGTGAGACAAAGTGTGATATTAGACAGAAAGAAAGAAAATAATATCACACTTTCTATTTCACCACTAAAACTTCCCTATTTCATAAAAAAAACACTTATTTATATTATTTAAATCACACATTCTTGTCAATGGAATTGTACATTTCAATGTTTTATTTTATTTTAAAGTATTATCTTGTCTTGTTGTCGAAAGACCAAAATCTATGTATGTATGGAAGACGGAACAAAACCAGAACCGGTTAAAAAGATTAAATAATTTTGAACAGATTTCAATTAAAATTTTGGTTAAAATGCTGACCTGGGCCCCAACTTTGAAAACCATTCAAAATGATAAAATCTGGCTAAGAACTTTTTGGATTTACCCAGTATGTGAGCAATAAAGAAACAGTTTATGTTCCGGTTCTAATCACTTCAGAATAAGCTCTAGACTTGGCTAGAATTAAAAAATACAGATGTTGTCATTTTATTTTACAGCTCGTGGATCATTCACCATGTCAATAAAATACAGACCTACTTTGTTTTCATTCCAATTACACTGGGAAAGTTACACAATAAGAGACACAGGTGTAGAACTGTTATGATGGGACCGTGAACAGGAACAGGAGCCAACATGTTGGAGGGACCAACAGAGCGACCGCCTGTTTGCTTCAGGTACAGTAACTACCACACTGATCGTTACAGTACGCTGCACCACTGCTATTCCTGCAAGTGTGTTATTGTGTCCACAGAAGAGAGTGCGTGATAAATGCAGAAAATAAAAAAAAAGTGGAGACGACCTGTGCTCAGCAGGTCCTAACACGCTCAGGTTTGGTTTCAATCTTCAAATGATTTTTCGCAACTTGGCCGAGAGCAAACGTAATAAATTGAACCGAAATGGCTGTAGAAAAATTAAAGATTTAGTCATTGAAAATGTCTTCTACATCAAATGAACAAACCAATCTCAAGTGATGTAGTTCTTCAAACTAAAGAAATAACTTGTGATGTAATTACTAATCCATTTTAAATAAAAATCAAAAACATTACGTTATATGTATATGATGCATCACAACTTATTAAAATAATTTTCGCTAATGCTAACAATTGTTAATTATGATAGAACTTATACAGAAAAATGAGAAAAAATGTTCAGGACTGTGACAGCACAAAAAAATTTATATATATAATCTTCCATTGCTGGTCAAGGCCAAACCAATAATGAAGTCCACATGTATTGGATAAAACTATATATATATAAATGAATACATGCAGCCTAATTCAAGTCAGTAAAAACAATAGATATTGATTTTATCTGAATGTGGACTTTTACTTATCTGTTCAGAAAATCACGTGTTTATCACACAGAAATACAGACGTCATTGTTCCAGTAAGTACAGCCTGGTTTTTTTTTTTTTTTCTAGTCCACTTTTTTTCTATGAACTTGAATGAGAATATAAATCCATTTCACTTCATTTATTGTGTTCAAACACAGCTAGGACTCCAATAAACATCAGCTGCTTTTGATTAAAGGATGGTCATATTTCTTGCAAAAACCTTTTATAGGCAGAGGGTAATACAAAACACACACACACACACACACACAGACAAGTACAGACTTTTTTTTTTTTTTACAGAGTACAGCTCGTCTCTGGGGACAAAGGGAAACAGAATTGAAATGTGTGGCTGGGATTAAGAAGTGGGTGAAGCTGCCAGAGGAGCTCCTCTTTCCCCCGTCTGCACAGGGAGCACATTCCTCCAAGTCAAGGTCACTGCTGTGATAGAGGAGGCAGTGGGGGAGAAACAGGAGGGGGCAGGCTAAAGAAAACACCTGGAGAACAGAACATGGCTGCACCCCCCTCCGAACAACACACTCTTGGCCCCTTTCCCATTCATTTCCCCCCCCGCTCTAACAATCTCCCTTTCTTTCTCTACTTTTTTCCCCTGGTTTTTGTCCAACTCGTCTTTTATATCTGAGCAGAAATCATCGCCAACACATAAACAGACGTGGTCATGATAAAAGACTCTCTGGTGACTAAGCACTGAGTGATTGCGAAACCACACACACACACACACACGACCCCCTCCCCAAAACTTCTGATCAATGTTGGACCCCCAGAGTAACTGGCTCTCATGGTGGTAGGTGGGTCACATAACAATCATATCAATCAATTGTTAGCAGAAGAACAATCAGTAGCCATAATTTAGATATTTTTAATTTAGTGCATTTAGTGCTTATAGGATTTCCTTTTGTGGACATGATTTAATAATGACAAAAGAGGGAATTAATATTTTTTTTGTCTTGTAGAAAAGAAAGGATGTTGCTGTGTGTTGTTTTTACAGCCAAAAATGCCTGGCACTACCGAGTGTGAACTTGACCTACTTCACATGGTTCATTAGTGAAAAAAGGGTCGAGAACCAATGTTCTACAGTTTGTCAAGTACATCTGTTTGTAAATGTTTTGATGTTTGGCACCAAAGTTAACAGAGAAAATGGCTGTTTTTGGCCTAATGGGACACAGACACTGCTGGTCTACTGCTGCCATCTCATCTGCCATCAAACGAGTGTCGCTGTGGTAAAAAAGGATTTTAAACAGTCTAGTCACAAACTAACAAACATATTATCATCTGTGAACTTGTGTTTCATGTCGTGAACAGTTTACTGAAACACACAAACTTCAGTTTTCTCCAGAAACGACAGCCAAACAAACAAAATCATTATTGAACACTGTGGGTTGTAACTGTAGGGGGCTGAAGGGGGGAGGAGGGGGAGCTGCCACCATTAATATGTGACCCATCTTATGAGTGCACTTAATTATAAGTCTTGAACATGCTGGTATTTTAATTAGCTGCAGTAAATCACTCATTAACATTACTAATGGCTCCGCAGCAAAGCAGAGACGTGAGGAAACGGCCTGACTGTAAATACAGCAGCCACCAGTTTATGTTTGGTACAACATGATTACAAACAAGTTTTGCTGTGGTTAGCGTAGCAACACAACATGCTCAGTAGCATTAGCTCTTACGATGCTTCCATTAGCACTGCTGGGTTTTCTCTTCGATTTTAGGTCACTTCACTCAATTTCAAATTTCAAAGTATAACAAGAGGACGAGAGTAGGTAAAGGCATAATTAGAATGTATTTATTATTTCATTCCTGAAAAAAAACCACTATCAATAGATGGATGAGGTTAATTTTATTCCTTCTTTTACATGTGGGTGTGGGTTTAAATCCCAAATACTGCCTTGTGTTTGTTACTGGGGTTCATTCCAGAGTTGTGTGTATCAATATGACCAACGACAAATCCTACAAATAACCACATACATGTTATTACCCATTAGGATTTGACCAGTAAATTGAGGTAACCTAATCCCAGTCCATTTGCATGCTAACATTTAGTTATCACTGCTAAATTATACAACAACATTGCCAGAAATCTTTTTTTCTGTAGAATCGTACCAGCAACCTTAAATTATTGTAAAACATAAGGCTTGTTAAGGCTCTACATTGATTGGCTGTTAAGAGGCAGATGAGACAATCAATGGGCAGGATGTAGATCATGTTTTACCAAACAATGAACTCAGGAAGGGGTCAAAGTTTGTCATGTGCATAACATGGGCTGCAGAGGAAAAACCACCAGGATCCTTCAAACCTCAAACGCAGGGAGGCAAATGGGCAGTGGGGGAGAAAGTGAACATGTAGAGCAACTGCCACTGCTGCTGTGGGTTCACTTTGAAATCTTCCCACCCTTTGGAACAGTCCCGCCCAGACTGAGTGAATCTGAGTGTTCATGACTGTATGTTTCCATCAAACTGTCCCCCCTACACACACACACACACACACACACACCTCCTCCTGACCTGGACCTCAGTCCCTCCCCTCTTTCTCTGATGTTGACCCGCTCTAAGGGATCGGGGAGAATTTAGACAAATGACCTAAGATGGCAGCGGAGCGAGCTTTGGACAGCAGACCCCACTAATCACAGGCACCATGGAGGTTCCACAAAGCAGCCAGAGGCTGAAAAGTTTCCCCTTCATGGCCCAGGCACCAGGCCTCTCGCCTATTTAGCTCCAGAGTTAGCAGTGAGAGACCCAGCAGTGATTCATCAGACGACAGAAACCACCAAGAAGTAAAGAAGAGAGCGGGAGCAGAGCCGCAGATGTTCTGTTGATAGCAGCATGTTTGAATTTTTTTCCCCACGTAAATTGAAGCAGATGTTGCTCATTTGTTGGCAACAAGTGAGAGCCAAACAGGCAAGAAATATTAACGGCTATAATCAGTTACCGTGGTAACTGTAATAGATGTGTGATATATGTGAACAATTAAACCTTTCTGACCAACCTGCTTCTACTTCTGCCTTTTCTAAACTTGCAGACTGAGGCTGTAAAATCCTGATGTCAGGTATAATGACCTCTGAGGTTAAATACAGACCTTTAAAAGATGTTAATTGCAAGGGAGGGGCTACTAAACACACACACACACACAGACTCTCTCTTTCTCACACACACACAGATGCAGCAGCAAATGTAATGTGACAGGCAGTGGAAAAACAGGTCGTTAGCTTCTTCATCTTTTCCTAAAATTCAGAGGAAAAATAAAACATGACAACCAACTGGTACCGCCCCGCATCCTGTCAACCAATGGGCCGCAGACATGAGGGAAAACGTGACACAGAGGAGAAAAAGTAGAGCCAGGAGAAGTTGACCAGAAACTGAATCAAAGATTTATATTGCAACATCTGCAGCTACAGCCCCTGGGCTTGAAAATGAATGCAGCGTCAGGTGGCAGGAGACCAGGTGTGTGAATGAAGGACTGCAGCTCCATTTTGGAGAAAAATAAAAAGCCCTTCTTCTCAAATGTCCTTCAGCTTATCAGAGGAATGTATCTGCATTCTTCACCACAGATTCCATCTTTGTCCACAGGTCCAGGCATCAGCCTGGCTTCGCGCTCAGACTTAATTTGGATTTTAATATCGACTTCCAGGTATTATTTTTTTTTATTTCTCCCTGTGCATCCTGTTTGAATAAACTCTGCCTTGTCACTGGTCACAGCAGAAGAAGAGTCGGTATTTATGCACGGCTGCTGTAGAAATGCATCGTTTGTACGTCAAATGAACCATTTTTATTCTAAGGGCAACGTGTCTGCAAACAGCAGGGAGCGCTACACTTACTGACTCCACGAACGGACAAGGTCTATTATTATGAGGAATTGCATAATCATCTCAGACTACACTTCTGCAGTTTGTCTCACAAAAATCTGGCCTTAAATGGAGATTGTGAGAAAACGGGAGAGAGCGAGGGAGAGAGAGAAAGGGAGAGAGAGCATGTGTGTGACTGCAGGTGTAGCCCATGGAAACAATCACAACATTAGCAATGAATAACATACTTAATACTTCACTTTATTCCTGCCGCCTGTGTCTTTTTGTCCTGTGTACTTTAACTATGCACAGCCTGAAGAAACACAGCTGTTTAGAACTTCTCCTTTTGCTCTGCTCCTACCTAAACGCCAAGTCGAGGATTTTCAGGGAGTACGTGAACAAAGTACAGAGAATTTACTAAAGTACTGAGCCTGAAAGGGGATAGGACCAGAGGCCGTGAAGCTGTGACAGATGAACACGTCAGTGTCACAGTGTAGGGCTTTCCACTTGTTGGTTCCAGGAGAATAATGCAGCGTCTGGTGTTTTTTTGTATTCTCCTCCCCAACACTCAGAGCAGACCTGGTGAGGAGCAGCAGGAGCAACGAGTATAAATAAACAATTCTGAGGAGTTATTGAAGGCTGCTCCTTCATTAGTTTATCCTTGTGAGTATTAAACATTTACACAGCACGTGTCAGTAATCAGGGAAGCTACTCCAGGGCAGCTTCACCTCCCCCACCCAGGACTGAGTGCAGTGTAGGTTTTGCATCATTTGAAATGTCAATGTCAACGTCGAATGCACAGCCACCAGAGTTGTTCCTTCCTGGAGTTTTACTCTATAAAATGTATCCAAAAACACGTGACCAGGTGATACATTACATACCCAGTGGTTCCCAAAGGGGGGGCAGGGGGGGGGGCAGGACAGTCACAGGAGACGCAGAGCCATTACCGGGGGAGGTGTGAAGTTCAAATGCAACCACACATGACAAAGTGATAAATAAATTCTCAGTGCTTTCCAAAAAGGGGGCGGGACATTCTCAGGGGACGCAGAGCCAATTCGGGGCAGGGGGGGGGTGCTTTTAACCGACGTTTATTGGTGTTGACGCAATAGCTGTGAATATGTTGATGTTGGGAGTGGGGGCACGAATTGTGTTGTCTACAACTGGGGGGCGCTGCAGAAATTAGTTGGAAACCACTGGTGTGGGGTTCGAGTTTTTGTGTACGATAAACATTTCTCTAAGATGATGAAACTGAACGTCGGTTCTTCTTACCTGTATCAGGCACTTGCTGACGTCGCTGGCACACAGGGCTTTGTTACAGCCCGAGCTGGAGGATAGCGCTGACAGAAGGAAGAGGAGAGTGACGGTGGCGGCTGCAGAGAGGGTCAGCTGACCAGGCCTCATCGCGATGGATCACCAGCACCACACTGGAAGTTCTTACATCAGGGTAAGAACACAGGACAGGAAGTGAGGTTCAGGGGTCGAGAGAGACACAGAGAGAGAGAACCTTTAGACTGCTGAACTGGGAAATAGAGCCGTGCACATTAAACCAATTTATTTAGTCCATACAGAAAGTACAATAATACCAGTTTATTAAATATATAAATATATACTGGTCATCGTTGGAGTTGCAGGTGGTGCTGGTGTCATTCTCAGCAGTAATCAGGTGAGGGTGGACAGTTCATCTGTCCATCACAAGACCACCACTGAGACCACCAACAATTCACACTTACACCTATGGTGTATTATGGGTGTCCAAAAAAAAATTTTTTTTTTTGGTACTGCATGTGGAAACCACAGTACCTGCAGCCATGACCTTGAAACAATGCTATCTGACCTATCCTTCGACCAATCACTGAGTGCAAATGTGACCAGGTTATTGGAACATAAACATCATTATACTTTAGTATTTTTAAGCAGTACACATATTCACTTTACGAGCATTGTGTAAACACAAAATACGAAGATTCAAATGTAAAACTGTGCCATATGTCTGCATTCATTTTAAAGATGGTGCATTGTCAGATCACCATTAATATAATTTAATAGTTGTAGTCATTGACATGTATTGGGCTACTCGACTAAACGGTGACAAAATGACAATTAAATGAAAACAACTTTGAAATTGATTGGCTTTGGTTTTCTGTACAACGCCGGGAGTCAACGAAACAATGATCAACACTTTCCACTAAATATTCCTCAAATGAGTCGACTTTGACAGTAATCGTTGAATGCAGCCCTAACGAACACACACGTAGACATGTGGCTAAAGTCAGCTCCCCATCTACAGACCACATTTATCTCCTCCATCTGTACCTTGTGCTGTATTTTCACAGTGAAAACATGAGCTACTCTTCTGACTCCGTCACCATCGTCTCTCTGCTTCACCTTTTTCCTCATCGCCAAAACCCAAAACTTTACGGCGCTCCAACAGGAGCAGAGAAAACCAAAGTGCGACGCCAGGATGGCAGGAGAAACTCACCACAATGATGGAAACAACTTCACGACTTGTCCCTTTTCTCCTCGAGGCACCGAGTTTGTTTTTCTCTTTGAACTTATCCAGGATGGTGTTCAGCTGCAGCTCCACTGTCCTCTGTGTCCACAGGGCGTCTCTGTCTCTGTGTCTCACTCTCTGCGCAGCACAAAGCGACAGGCAGTCGGGCGCCTTAAAGGCACACACTCCATTTTCTCCTGTGTGTGCATGTGTGTGTGTGAGGAGGAAAACGCCGTGGATACCAGTCTCACACACTTCCACACATGTGCAGTGTCTTTCCCTGTGACACTGCGGCTTCGAGCCACGCGTGTGGTCACTTCACGTGCTGCGGTCACATACGCTTTCCATCAGACTTTTTCTGCGTAAAAAAGTTTTATGCATCAAAGGTCCCCGATCAGAGGGAGAATGCAAACTGTTTTCTTGCATCAAAGGTCGGCAGCGTTTTAATCCCTGTTTATTCCCAGGACCCTGATCAGAGGGAGAATGCAAACTGTTTTCTTTCACTCACATGTCCCCACCACCTCCAGCCTGTTAAACGGCCTTTGTCTGCAGCCTTATCAGCCGCCTGCAATGCATTAGGAAAGACAGGGGCGTTTCGGAAGCTGTGGAGCGGACTTCCCGCAGAGACGCGTCTTTAGGGACAGTGTTGCCAGATCTTAAAAGTAAAAGGTTACGCCTCAGACTACAGTTATAATATTTTGATGAAAATTGTCGCACACACTTAATTTACACCGTGACGTAGATAGGACCAATCTCCTCCAATAACACATTTTCTAACCTATAAGACGTTTTCGCATAACGTAATTGTTACGTCATTACGTCATGCGTTGAATTTCTAACTCGAACGGGTTGCAAATACATCACATCCACCAAAGAGTAAAATCCGTCAGTAAATTCAATACTAAAGTTGTGTTCAGTTTTAGCTGAACACAACTTTAGTATTGAATTTAGTATTGAATATTGTATTAGTATTAAATTTAGTATTGAATATTGTAACAAAGTCGTGGCTTCTTCAGTGCTAATGCTAACGCCACAGTGGAATAAAGAACATCTACATTTTGTTCAGATGAAGACAACAGTCACTGGATGCTTAATTCAACCACACAATAATACTCGGGAAACACCACTTTAACTCATCTGGCCTCCTGCCATAACCACCTGCAACACACACACAAATCCAAGGTTCCAGGTCACTGTTGACCTACAAGGATACACATTGCACAGCGACAAGTTCATCTTACGTGATCCATGATCAGAGGCATGGCACTGAGTCATTTCAACAACATCAGTCCACGTCTTGGATTCCAAAACAAATAATTTCAGTTTTGTTGTACCCCCGTGTTACAGTGACAATAAAGACTATTCTATTCTATCTGGGCGGCTGACGTAGAGCCTTAAACAGCCTCACACAGTCAGCTTTGAACTAAGCAAACTGCGCTCATCTCTCTTCAAGGCCTTAAAGTCACAGACAGTCAAGTCACTTAGCTTTATTGGACTGCAATCTGTCAACATTCAAAAGTAACACAAAACCATCACAGACAGTTGGTTTCAAGCTGTACCACTCATTTCTCCTAAGATGTACTTCAAATATTCTTAAGTCTATTTCCGTATAAGTACAAAAGTCAGTGGACTCACATTACAAGGTCTGTAGTGTGGACAGACTGACCAACACGCCTTGACTGAAGGAAAATGTCTCTGTAAATAAATGAACAAGTGGACACACTCAAAGTAACCACAGCTACTACTGTGTGGTTTTTGGTATATCTTCTTATAACCACCAGCAAATAGTCAATGTTTACTCCAGTTTACACATCCTTGTATTACAAACTATCAATAAATATCTTCAAATATATTTCTGTTGTTCTACTTTGGTCTCAATCACAAATGACTGAAGGATCACCTCACAATTCCATACATATATAAACAATAACTTTTTGTTGTTGTTGTTGACTTCCTTTAGGCAACTGGACATGACATTTGCATTCAACAGAAGAGGTGGGCTAAGACACAACCTATCACCCACACACTGAAACCATTCTGATGAGGATTACAACGACCCATCAGACTCCTAATGACTGTTAACACTTCCCCAGATGACCCTGACGGCCCACCCGACAGGAAGGACCTGAAATCATCATTCTGATGACTTATAACTTTTCTCAACAACTGTCATCACATCAATCATTTACAGAAGAGTTCTCACCTTGTTGTCCTTTGAGGCACTGATGAACATGGTGAGGTCCACAGACGTCTGGATGTCGTTGATGTGCCTGCTGTGCTCCTCAGCTTTCTTCAGGACTTCCTGGAATATTGACAAACAGAAATGTTCCTCATTATCACAAGCTCTACAAAGATGCTGTCTCTCTGTGATTATTTCCTTTAGTATTTCATTTCTATAATACTGTGTGCTAACTATTTCTTTAGCAGTAATCAGGATTACATACCGATCTGTGAATCTCTCAGGTCGAACGGGTTCATGAAACACTGACAGCCCATCTGCTTGTCTGTGGGAAACATGATGATGTTGCCGCTGACATCGAACCCACGTGTTCTGACAGGAGACATTAAAAAAGGGACACAGAGCAGAAATTAAACACCAAATACACTTGACAGGAAATTATCACGTCTGCTGGAACTGCCTATATAGCTAACTGTTTATTTAATTTCATTATTTAACTACTCAACTATTTACACTGTGCATCTTCTTCTTCTTTTTCTTTCGGCTTTGTCCCTTTTTTTTCAGGGGTTGCCACAGCAAATCATTGATTTCCATCTCTCCCTGTTCTCTGCATCTTCTATTCTGACTCCAACTATCTGCATGTCCTCCCTCATGTCCTCCTTTGTGTGGCTCATTTGACATTTTACTGGAGTAATAGATTATTACAGTATTTACTGTTCTTAACTATCATTATAATGTTAATGTCACATTTATTTCCTCAGAGAACAAGCAATAAAGTTCAGTTATTTTGAGGTTTACTGCACTTTTATGTTAAAACTCTTATTTGTTCCTTACGTTTTTCTTGGAAGAACTTTATTTCCTTTATTTCAGCCTCGTGACTTTCTTTTATTTGTGCATTACACATTGTCTGATGTGTTTGCGTGTAATAGCAAAGAGAAACACAC